ATGTTACGCCGTCGGAGCAGGAGGATTTATTCATTAGGAAATTAAAACAATGCTGTGTGACTTTTGACTTTATGGACCCAGTCGCAGATCTCAAGGACAAGGAAATTAAACGTGCGACTCTCAATGAACTCGTCGAGTACGTGACAGCAGGTCGAGGAGTCCTCACTGAGCCTGTTTACCCCGAAATCATTAGAATGGTGTGTACTCATTATTAATTAATTAATAAATTAATTAATTAATTTCCCCCCTCGCTTTAAATTCACAGTCGATTTTCATTTATCCCCTGGAAAATAAATTTGAATTTATCAAGTGTCTCCTTTAAATTATCATAATTATTCACAATTTTAATTTTATCCCCTAAAACCTGAAAGGTAAATTTGAATTAATTGTCTCCTTTAAATTCAGGGGCAATTTTAATTTATCCCCTAAAAAGTAAATTTGAATCAATTTTAATGATTTTAATTTATCCCCTAAAACAAAATTTGAATCAATTTTAGTTTATTCTCTAAAAAATAAATTTGAATCAATTTTAATTTATCCCCTAAAAAAATAAATTTGAATTAATTAATTGTCTTCTTTAAATTCACAGTCAATTTTAATTTATAGCCCTAAAAAATAAATTTGAATTAATTGTCCCTTTTAAATTCCCATTCGATTTTAATTTATCCCCTAAAAAGTAAGTTTTGAAGAGAATCAATTTTTTTCAACCAAAAATCATATTTTTTCAAATTAATTTTTTTATTTCTTGTACGCAAGATAAAAATTTGAAAAAATATGATTTTTGATTTATAAAAAAATGAGAAAAAAAATTAATTGGAAAAAAATAGTTTTTGGTTTGTAAAGAAAGAAGAAGAAAATTAATTTTAAAAAAAACTATTTTTCATTTATAAAGAAAAGGGAAAAAATTAATTTGAAAAATATGATTTTTGATTTATAAAGAAATGAGAAAAAAAATCCATTTGAAAAAATATTTTTTGGTTTGTGAAGAAAGAAAATATCTATGAAATTGGTTTTTAAGTAAAAAAAAAAGGATTTTTTCGAAAGTTTCTTTAATTAAAAAAGATTTTTTAATTAAAAGAAAATTTCTCTAATTTTTCCAAACAAAATTTTAAAATTCTAATTGCACTTTTAATTTTTAGATCTCGGCGAACCTTTTTCGAACACTACCACCTAGTGAAAATCCAGATTTTGATCCTGAGGAGGATGACCCGACGATGGAGGCGAGTTGGCCCCATCTTCAATTAGTGTACGAGTTTTTTCTTCGATTTCTCGAGTCTTCAGATTTTCAGCCTACCTATGGAAAAAAAGTTATCGACCAAAAATTTGTTTTACAGGTAATATTTTCTTTTTCCTCTTTTTTTTCTTTCAAAATTTTTTTTTTTAAATTCGGAAATTATTCTAATTTTCAATATTTTTTGAATTGGAATCTTTTATTTTGTCGAAATTGCGAATTTTATATTCGACATTTTAATTAATTTATTTAATTTATTTAATTTATTTAATTAATGTTAATTTTTTTAATTGATTTAAAAATTTTCTTTTTAATTTAAAAAAGAATTTTTGTTTCTACTATCCTCTGGATTCTTTCCTAAAATATGTTTTAATTTTCTTTTTAAATAAAATATATAAAAAGGCAATTGATTAATATTATTTACTTTTTTCTTGCAGTTGTTGGATCTTTTCGATTCGGAGGATCCTAGAGAAAGAGATTTTTTAAAGACAGTTTTACATCGTATTTACGGAAAGTTCCTTGGCCTTCGAGCCTTTATACGCAAACAGATAAATAATATCTTTCTCAGGTGAGTTTTATTAATTACTACTGTCCATTCTTCAGTAAATTTCAAAAATTTAGTTTTTTGAAGAAGAACTTTCTGAAAATTATTCTAAAAACTTCTAATTAAAAATTCTTTAAAACAAATGAATTTTAGAAAAGTTTTCTACCAATAGTAAAAAATTCTGTTAAAAATCTAACTTTCTTCGAATTATTATGAAAATTTAATATTAAAAATGAAAATCTTTATAAAAATTTATTAGTTTCTTAAAATTTACAAAAATTCTTTTCGAAAATTCAGGTATTTTTACAAAATTTTACTAAATTTGAATTATTTGAAAATTTTTTAATTATATTTACATTTCAGATTAATTTTATCTTTCGAAAATTATTTTTAAATATTTCAAGAATTTTTTTTTTAATTCTTAAAAATCAATTATTTTTAATAGTTTCCGTTAGATATTTTCAACAATAGACTCAAAAACGTAAACAATAACTTGAAATAACTTTTAAAAAGAAAAAGTTCCAGTTATAATTTTGATAAAAAAAATTGAATTTTTGTATTTAAATAATTCAATTTTCAAATAATTCTGATAATTATTTGAAATTTAATTAAAAATTATGGAGAATAATTGAATTTTGAAAGAGTTAGAATTTTAATCTAATTCTTCGCAAAAAATTCAAAAGAATTCAATTATTTTCAATAAATTTCGTAAAATTCTCAATTTTACGAAAGAATTCAATTATTTGCTAAAATCGTAATAAATCCTTCGAAACAATTCAATTATTTTTATATATAGTAAAATTCTTCGCAAAAATTCAATTATTTTTAATTTTAATAAAATTCTATGAAAGATTCAATTTTTAAAAAAATTGAATTTTTCTATTTAAATAATTGAATTGTGAAATAATTTTGAAAATTATTAAAAATAATTGAGTTAAAGAGAAAGTTATTTGAAAATTCTGGAGAATAATTGAATTTTGTAAGAATATTAGTAAAAATATTTAAGAAGTTTAAAAATTGAAAAATTAACAACTTTTTAAAATTATTAAATTTTTAAAGTAATTTAGTTGTTTTTTTTTTTAATTGAAAGTTTTTTGAAGACTCAAAATTGCAAAGAATTGAATTTTAAATTTTTTCTAAGTCAACTTCCTTTTACTTTTTTGCACAATTCAATTCTCAAAGAATCTAATGAAAATTATCAAAAATAATTGAATTTGTAAGAAATATAATTTTTCAATTTGAAAGAATAATCGAATATTCGAAAAGTTGTAATAAAAATTTTGACTAATTTCAATTGAAACTTCTAAAAAACTTAGTTCTTTGAAAAAAGTTGAATTAAATTGTAAATTTTGTCAAATTTTATCAAAATTTTAATATTTTGGAGCATTTTATTGGATTTTTTTGTTTAAATAATCGTTTAAAGAAAATGGTAAAAAATTTTGAAAATAATTGAATTTTCCAAAAACTTGAATTATTCATTAAGGAAAAAAGTTAACTTTTCTGAAAATTGGGGAAAAGTCAGGAAAATAGAAAATAAATTTCTGAATGTATAAAATAGTTCTTTTTAAATAAAATACAAATTGAAAAAAGAGTGACAAAAAAAATTGTCATTAATTTGAAAATAAATAAATTTTCTTTCCTTCTTTATATATTTGTTGTAAATAATAAGAAACTATTAGTTTTGTAAGAATTTTGTTTGTTATTTTCTTTCTTTCTTTCTTTCTTTCAATTTTCTTTCAATTTTCTTTTGCTAAAAAGCAATAAATTGTCTAAAGAAAAAATATGCCAAACAAAAGAGAAAAAAAAATAAATCATAATACTAGTGAAGTTTATTGAATGACTTTTTATAGTGTTTCTAGATTGTAAATTTCATTCTTTAAAATTTTAAATTGAGTTAGATGGTTTCCATTTCGTTGCTGGAAAATTTAAAGGCTTTTAACTTGGATGCAATAAACTTGCGAGAGCGAAATGAATCCCCTGGATTTTCAAGTTTAAGGGACTTTAAATTTAAAAGCTCCTCCTCATATTTCATAACATTTATTATTTAAAATTACACTACCTATATTTTAATTCCTCAAAAAAGAAAAAGAAGGAAAAGTTTATTTAAACGAAATTTGTCCCAGTTTTTCCCAAACTTGTTTTATTTTTTCCAATTTTTTTTCTCTTTCTTTCTGTAAAAAAATCTATAGTTTCTATTTATTTTTTAAAAGTAAAAAATAAAATTGATTGACAATTGTTTCGTAAAAAATTCTGGGAAAATTGAAATAAAAAATGTGTAAAAGAATTGTAACAATAATTATTGTGACAATTTATTTTTACAGGAATGATAATTGTAGTAATTTATTAGTAGACTAAGAATTATAATTTTTTAATAGGTTGAGTAATATTTTTTTATAAGTAATAATTTTTTAATAGAAGTAATATCTTTTTTATAAGTAATAATTTTTTAATAGAGAGAATAAGTTTAATGTTTCTTCTTAATTTGCAGGTTTGTGTACGAAACGGAACACTTTAATGGAGTGGGCGAACTTCTAGAAATTCTGGGTAGCATTATCAACGGATTCGCTCTCCCGTTGAAAGTCGAACACAAACAATTCTTAGTTAAGGTATTGTTTTTTTTTACTTTCAATCGTTGGTAATTGAGAAATTAGACGAAAAAAGAAAAAGGAAACTGAAGCTCGATGCTAATAAACTAAACGGAAAAGTTCTTTGGAGAATTTTCAATTTAGAAACTTGGCGAAATAAATAAAGAACCAAAAAAGAGAAAATCGGAAAATTCTATTATAAAATTTAGTGTAAAATTATTGAAGGAAAAATCGAAAAATTAGATTATAAATTTAAATGTTTATTTTTAAAAATCAGCGTTTCGACAATTATTTCGAAAATGAATTTTTCCAAAAAAAGAAAACAGAAATTATTTGAAATATACAGGAATGATAAGAGAATGTTTAAATTATGAGTGTAAGTTAATAATGTTCCTGTGATAAGATAAGTTATTAGGTTCAAGTAGCGATTTTTGTATCGGAAATATTGATATTTTTGCCTTCGGATATTTTTCCTCTATTTTATCGAAATTTTCGACGAAAGAAAAATTTTTTAATTTTAAAAGTACAGATTTAAGAATCAACTTTTTAATTGTAATTTAAAAAATAAATAAATAAAAATCGTGCAGAAATTGGAATTAGAAAAAATAGTTAATTTAGTCTCGAAATGCTTATTTTTTCGGATTAAAAAAAGAAAAGAATTAATATTATTTTTCAATAAATGTAATGATAATTATGAAATTATAATGAAATTGTAATGATAATGACATTATAATGATAATTGTAATGAAATTGTAATGATAGTTTTAATAATTACTAATTATTGGAAACGTAGTGAAAAAGTAAATTTAATGAAAATTGTAATTTTTCAGGTGCTCTTACCTCTACACAAGGTGAAGTGTTTATCGCTTTATCATGCGCAGCTGGCGTATTGCGTGGTGCAATTTCTGGAAAAAGACGCAACGCTGACGGAGCCAGTGATTCGAGGTCTTCTGAAATTCTGGCCTAAGACATGCAGCCAGAAAGAAGTCATGTTCTTGGGAGAAATTGAGGAGATACTCGATGTCATAGAACCTAGCCAATTTGCTACAATACAGGAGCCTCTTTTTAGGCAAATTGCACGCTGCGTATCGTCACCTCATTTTCAGGTAATTGAAAAAAAACCATTTCAGGAGAAAGAAAAACATTCTTATTATTTTTCTTTTGTCCCCCTTAATTTCCAAATTTAATTTTGATTTTGACTCAATTTTTAATATTCAATTTTTATTAATTGTAAAAATATTAATTAATTAATTAATTAATTAATTGTAAAAAAAGTTTAAATCGATTTTATGCTTTGCGGTTCATTTACAAAAATCTACTATTTAATATTTCTTTTTCGATTTGATGCTATTTGGCATTAGTTGAAAGAAAAAAATATTCTCAAAATAAAAAAATATCAAAATTATTCTCAAAAAATTTTGATAATATTCTTAGAAACAATTCAAAAAAATTAAAACAAAATTTTTTGAAATGATTCAATTATTTTCAGAAATTTGAATAAAATTCTTTGCAAAATCCAATTATTTTCATGAATATAAATAACAATATTCATCAGAAGAATTCAATTATTTTCAAAAGTAATAAAATTCTTCTCGAGAATTCAATTATTTTTACAAATAATACAATTTTTTTACTGGAATTCAATTATTTTCAAAAATAATACAATTTTCTACTGGAATTCAATTATTTAGAACATTTTAATAAAATTCTTCCCAAGAAATCAATTATTTTTACAAACAATACAATTTTTTACTGGAATTCAATTATTTAAATAAGTTTAATAAAATTCTTCTTCAGAATTCAATTATTTTTAGAAAGTTAAAAAAAATCGTTTGAAAAATTTAAATAATTTTATTAATTTTCCAAATTTTTGACAAAAATTTCCTTGAAATTTGTCGAAAGAATTCAATTATTTAAAAAAAAATTATTAAAATTCTTTACAAGAATTCAATTTTAAGAAAAATTCAATTACTCAAGAAATTATTTATTTTTGTATTAAAATAATTGAATTCTCGTGTAAAACTTTCTAACAAGAATTGATTTAGATTTGAAGTTCAGTTAAAAATTTAGATAATTAAATATTAGAAGCAATATGGAATTAATTTTTATAGAAATAATTGAATTTTTAAAAAGTACATTAAAATGATTTAAAATATTTTAATTCTTCTGGAAAAATAAATCAGTATTTAAATAATTATTTAAACAAAACTATTAAATTTTTGAATGATATTTAATTAAGAAATTATGAAGAAAATTAGTCTTTTGAGAAATTGTATTTAAATTTTTTCAAAATACCTAAATTGCCGTAAATAATTGAAAAAGATTAATTTAATTTCCAATTATTTGAAAATTTTGTCAAATTTAATTGAAATAAATTATATATTTTAAAGAATTTTATTTTTCTGCTTTTGAAAATTATTTCAAAAAATACTAGTATTTTTTGAAAAAATTTATGTTAAAATTAAAAAAATAATTTAATTTTTCAAAAATTTAGAACTGTAGTGATTATTAAAAAATTGATAAAAATTTTCTTTGTTTTTAAAAAAGAAAATCTTTTATATTCAAATATAGAAATATTTGATATAATTTGAAAAAGATTAAATTTTAATTTGATTTCTTTATTATGTTTCCATATTTTGTTAATGAAATTAAAATTCTACCTGAATTTAAAAAAAGAAATAAAAATCTAGTTTTTAAATAAGAAAATCGATAGTTATTTGATTGTACAGGAATGATTCAAGAATGTTATTTATAAACGTTACTAATTTCTGTCATTTTCGTCTCGTGAACTGTTAAATTAATGTTGGAAAATAAATAGCAATGTTGTAAGTAGGACAGTGTCTGTTTCGATAATTCGATATATATATGAATTAAATTCACTTACTACGTTGTCAATTGTTTTGCATAAAATCAATTGTGCCAAATTGATTCCTTTACGATCATATTTTATAGTTGATTGCTTCTAATTTTATCCATTCGATACATCAACACACGAACAGGATAATGTCAAATTTACAAATTCTAAAATATCGATCACAATTATTACTGATATTCAATGGAATGTTTTATTTCATCTAAATATTTCTTTTCGTATTTATATTTTCTATATTTTCTATATTTTTTGTTCAAAATTCTTTTTAGTTAAATTTAACATTCTAAAGAAAACAATTGAAATTATTTTTCTCAAACAGGAGAATAAAATTTGACGAAGAAAAAAAAGATAAAAAATAATAAAATATTAGAATAATAAAGTAATAATAAAAATAAATTATTAAAATAATAAAATGGGTATTTTTTGTAAATCCATTTAAATGAAATAAATAAATAAAATACAAAAATAGTAAAAAATAGTAAAAACAATAAAAATAATAATAAAAAATAAATTTTCCGGATAAAATATATTTTGTCTGTAATATATTATTTGAGAAGGAAAAATTTAGTGTCAAAATTAAAGATTCGAGAGTAAAAAATATATTTTTTGTTTTCAGGTTGCTGAGAGAGCATTGTACTTGTGGAATAACGAGTACATTATGTCGCTAATCGAGGAAAATAATCTCGTAATAATGGGAATTATGTTCCCGGCATTGTACAGAATTAGTAAAGAGCATTGGAACCAAACGATCGTGGCCCTCGTTTACAATGTTCTCAAAACATTCATGGAAATGAACAGCAAACTGTTTGACGAACTTACTGCCACCTACAAATCCGAGAGGCAAAAGTAATATTTTTTTCAATTATCACACGAAAAAAATAACGTTTCAATATATTATTAAAGAGAAATTCATTTAGTCAAGTAATCGATTACTTTGAATCAAAGAAATGTCTCTTAAATATTTTTGTACTGTCAGATTTTCTTGATAATTAAATTAAAATCAAATTGTGACCAAAATTCAATTTAAATTGTAATTTTAGAGATTAAATTTAAATTATAATTTTATCGACAAAATTCAATTTAAATTGTAATTTTAGCGACTAAATTTAACTTAAATTGTAATTTTAGTGACGAAATTTAATTTATAATTATTATTAATATTATTAAAAATAAATTACGTTCTCTTTTTTTGTAGAGAAAAGAAGAGAGAAAAGGAGAGAGATGAACTTTGGAAAAGATTAAATGAATTGGAACTTGAGCGGCGCGGTGCAATAATGGCGGCTCCAAATAATTCTGTTCCTGTTACATCTGCACCTGCAACACGAGCCCGACCCTGAGCTAGTAAGATATTTCATTTTTCTTCCTCATTATATTTTATAAATATATATTTAGAAAAAAGAAAAACGAGAAATTTAAAAATAAGATTTTTCTTTCTTCAAGGAAAAATAAAATTCATATTTTTTAAATATTCTCAATTTTCACTTCTGAAAAAATCAATTTCATCCTTAAATTTTCAAATGTTGATTAGTTATATATAATGTAAATTTTCAAGGTTGCCACATGTCAGGAAATTAATTATTAAAAATAATGGATTTATAGAAGAATTTTAGTTAAAAACACTAAAAAGAATTTAATTTTCGACAAGTTACAAATTATTTTTAAAAGCAATAAAATTCTTCGCAGAAATTCAATTATTTTCAAAAATTTTAATAAAATCCTTGGCAAAATTTCAATTATTTTCGAGAATTTTTCTCAATTCAATTATTTTCAATGTCTACAATTTTAATAAAATTTTCCAAAGAATTTAATTATTTAAATCAAAATTTTAATTCTATTATTTAAAAAAATGTTGACAACACACTTTACCAGATTTAGTTAATAAAATTGCAATTTTAATCAAACTTTCCTATACAATTCGTTTCAAGTATTTTCAATTTTTTAATGAAATTTCTCGAATAAATTTAATTATTTTCAAAAACTTTTAAAAAATTTTGAGAAATTCAATTATTTAAAAAAAATTGAATAAAATTCATCACAAGAAATTAATTATTTTCATGAATAGTAAAAACTTTTCCAGAATTCAATTATTTTGACAAATAAAATTCCTAAAAAGTTTTACTAATATTCGTTGCAAGAATTCAATTATTTTCATAAATAACAAAATTTATCGTAAAATTTCAATTGTTTTCCATACAATTCTTCTTAAGAAATTAATTATTTTCACAAATAACACATTTTTTATGGGAATTCAATTATTTAAAAATATTTAAATAAAATTCTTCGTAAGAAATCAATTATTTCCATAAATAATAAAAATTTTCTCTGGAATTCAATTATTTAAGAAAATTTTAATAAAATTCTTCCCAAGCATTCAATTATTTTCAAAAATAACATTTTTCACTGAAATTCAATGATTTAAAAAATATTTAATAAAATTCTTCGTCAGATTTTAATTATTTTCAATTTTTTAATAAAATTTCTTGAAAAGAATTCAATTATTTTCAAATAGTTTTAAAACAATTCTGAGAAATTCAATTATTTAAAAAAATTTGAATAAAATTCTTCGTTATTTTCAAAAATAACAATTATTTCGACAAAATTTAATTATTTTTATAAAAAAAATCTCAGGAATTCAATTATTTTCAATTTTTGAATAAAGTTTCTCGAAGGAATTCAATTATTTTTAGGAAATTGAAAAATTCTTTTGATAAATTCAATGATTGTGAAAAATTTTAGTAAAATTCCATGAATTTTTTATTTCTTAAAAAAGTTTCTGAAAAGAATTCAATTATTATATGAGAAAATTAAAAAAAATTCTTTTCAGAAATTCAATTATTGTAAAAAATTTATATAAAATTCTTGAAAAGAATTCAAGTATTTAAAAAAAATTGTTTAAGAATTCTTTCTAAATTTTAATTGGTTTCAATTCAATTTTAATATCAATTTTCGATAGAATTCAATTATTTTCAATACAATTTACTACAATTCTTAAGAATTAAATTATTTTTAATACAATTTACTACAATTCTTCTTAAAAATTCAATTATAAAATTAATTTTTTATAAAATTTCTCGAAAGAATTGAATTATTTTCAAAAAGTTTTAAAAAATTCTGAGAAATTCAATTATTTTGAAAAAGTTTAATAAAGTTCTTGAAAAAAATTGAATTATTTTTAATTTTTTATAAATAATAAAACTCATCGCAGGATTTCAATTATTTTTAATAGAATTTTTAAATACATTCCTCGGAAAATTCAATTATTCTTCAAAATTTTATTAAAAATCTTTCGAAGAATTCAATTATTTAAAAAAATTTTCTTAAAATTCTATTTAATATTCAATTATTTTTATTTATTTCAATTCAATTATTTTTATAAATAATAAAACTCATCGCAGGATTTCAATTATTTTTAATAGAATTTTTAAATGCATTCCTAGGAAAATTCAATTATTGTTCAAAATTTTATTACAAATTCTTCGAAGAATTCAATTATTTAAAAAAATTTTATTAAAATTCTATTTAATAATCAATTATTTTTATTTATTTCAATTCAATTCAATTTCAAATTTTTATAAATAATAAAACTCATCGCAGGATTTCAATTATTTTTAATAGAATTTTTAAATGCATCCCTAGGAAAATTCAATTATTGTTCAAAATTTTTATTAAAAATTCTTCGAAGAATTCAATTATTTAAAAAAAAAAAAAAAAAATTATTAAAATAAAACTTGAAGAAATCGATTACTTCGAGTCGAAGACTCGATTTCTTCATGTTTTATATTTTTATAAGTTATTGAATTGAAAAAGGTTTTGAATTTGAAATTTTTGAAAATCATTTTTGAATCATAATATTCTTTAGAGAAAAAATGAAAATTTTGTCTGCAAATTAGGGAAAAACAAAATTTAGTTTTGTGGCAATCCTGATTTTGTCTAAAAATAAATTATTCTACTTAGGAAATCACTTACTTTAAAGTAAATTTTGAAATTAGTAATTAGTAATTATTAATTAGTAAGTAGTAAAAATAATAAAGTGTAAAATTGTCTTTTTTTTGTTTATAGGCGAGAAATCACAATCATGTCACCCAGTCGTTAGATCTTAGTTTACGTCGAGGAAAAAAATTGTCGTTGTTAGAAGAGAAACCAGAATCATCTCACGGTGGATTGTCTTGACGTAATAAAAATTCCTTAGTTGGTCTCGTCCTCGTCACACTGGACAAAAGCAATCTGATCAACTCTATGGAGCGAGAAACTGAAAGAATGAGCGAGAGAAAGAGAAAAAGAGAGAAAGAAAGAGTGAAAGAGAGCTTAGAGAGAGAAGAGAAAAAAAATAGAGTGTCTGAGTGCGTGAGTGAGGAAACGAGGAAATTAAAAAGAACGTGCGCGAAAAAAAAGAAAAATCGCGAAAAGTAACAAAAAAAGACCAAGGAACTATTTAAAATAAAATAATTTAAAAAAAAGGAACAGAAAAAATAAAACCAAAGTGAAAAATCAGACCTGGATTTTACTCCTCAAAAAAAAAAAAAAAAAAATTGCCGCGATTTTTGATTTTTCATATTATAGAGATTTATATATGAAGACCGAATTTTTTATTCTCTTTCTTTGACGTCAAAATTCAAGTTGCATGGTGTACTTTAGTGTCAGCACGAGAATGAAAACTTTTTTTTTTAATTAAGATTTGCCGTTCTTCAGGCGAAGAAAAGAGTCAAAATTTTTTCCCCCTGACAAGAAAACTTTTTTCGCCTTCAACGAGCGGCGTTTGTTTGAAATGTACCATATATTCATATTATTATTATTATAATTATTATTATTATTATTAACGATAATGGTAAATATAACAAACAAAAAAAAAACATAATAAATATTAGGTAAATAAAAAAATACGTCATATTTATGTATATTTATATGTAGGAAAAAGTATAAATATAAATAAATGTGAATATACAGGACGTTCTTCTTGATTTCTCGTGGATTTTTTTTTATAATTTTTTTTTAATTTTCGATTCCCCCCCCTCGAGAAATCGGTAGTGACGAACTGTGTACTATATAAATATATATATTTGAATATATTTATATATATTAAATATAGTATGCAAAAATATATTAGTAATTCAGAGGAAGAAAATATTGGAAAGAAGACGAGGAGTTATAATTAGCGCGCGACGTAAAGAAAAAAAAAAAAAAAAGAAAAATTCTTAATAAAAAGCGACAAGTTTTATTATTATTGGAACTTATATATATATATGACAATGTTTTGTCTTCTTTTTCTTTCTTCAAATTAATTTTTAGCTTTAATTTTGAAGAAGAAAATCGTGCGCGAAAAAAAACGGAATTTTAAAATAAAAAACAAGCAATAAATTAAAATAGAAAATTACAGGAAAATGTAACATTTTAACGAATAGATTCGAATTCAGAGAGCGTGTTTTTTTCTCTACAAAAAAAAATAATGGAAAATTGAGAGAATGTGTGAGAGAAAGACAAAAAAAAGAATAAAAGAAAGAATGAATGAAAGAGAGAAAGAAAAAAGAAAGAATGAAAAAAAGAAAGAGAGAGAGAGAAAAAAGAAAGAATGGAAAAAAGAAAGAGAGAGAGAAAAAAATAGAAAGAAAAAAAAGAAAGAAAGAAAAAAGAGAGAAAGAAAAAAATAAAAAGAAAGAAATAGAAAGAAAGAAAGAGAGAAAGAAAGAAAGAGTGAAAAATAGAAAAAAAAGAGAGAAAGAGTGAAAAAAGAGAGAAAGAAAGATACAAAGAGAGAGAGAGGCAGAGACGCAATTAAGTGAAGAATAAATGATGAGAGGGACAAAGTAATAACAGAAAAAAAAGTAATAAAAAAAAAATTCAATTGTACCCAAAAATATCCATGGTTGCTTATATAAAATATACATACAATAAATAGAGATCTAACGCGTCAGATTTATTGGAGCTGTGCTCCTCTTTCTCAAAAATAAAATAAATTAATAACTGATGAGAAAAAAATCGAACACGATTTTTAAAAATACGAAAAGAAAGAAAAAAAATACAAAAAAGACTTTTCTTACCGATGCATAATGAAAAAATAAAAAAAATAGCGTTTAAAAAAAAAAAGAAATTCTCGATGAAAACGTTTTAATTAGTTTTATCACGCTAAAAAAATGGCGAATAAATAATTGATGATGAAGTGTTTACGAGACAATGAAAATGCACTTTTCTGGAATTCAGAAAATTTCGCCGGATGGAAAATTTTATTTATTTCCTTGTTTTTTTTTTTATCGAAAAAGAAAAAATTTATAAATCGAATTCTTTATTTCTATAAACAAATTATTTCGTTTATTTCGTTTTTTCCAAAAAAAAAAAACACTAAATATATTGAATTCTCTATTTATATAAATAAATTATTTCGTTTCTTCCGAAAAAACTTAATAAATCGAATTTTTCATTTTTTAAACAAATTGTTTCGTTAATTTCGTTTTTTCCGAATAAAAAAACTAAATAAATTTAGTAAAATAGTCGAAAAATTCTTTTTTGTAAAATAGTTTTTAAATAATTTAGTTTAATTTATAAAATTTATAAAATATTATTGTACAGTAGTTATTATTGTAGGTAATATTTTTTTTCGAAAAATATTTCTGTAAAAAAAAATATGTAAAATTATTTTGAATTTGAATTTTTATTCGCGAATTAAAAATAAATTCGTTAATTTTTCAGTTAGAATTTGAAATTTATAAAAAATTTTAGATGAAAAAATATTTAAAGAATATTAGAATTAAATTAAATAGACAAAAAAAAAATAAAATATCTAGTTAAATAAGTAGTGACGTTTGAAAAGAATATATATTACGTTTTAGATATTTTGAAAATTCTTCTCAGTTAAATTTATAAATTTTTAAGAATTTATTGATATTTTAATTCTTTTTTTGGAACAAAAGAGGCGCAAAGAAGATTTTTGTGGAGTTTACTGAAAATTCTAGGATAAAAAAAGATAAAAGAAAATATTCGGGGAAAAAATACAGTCGAAGAAAAAAGAGAAAAAAAGAGAAAAATTTAAAAGTTTCGCAATTTCCAGAAGTCAAATTAAAAACAGGAAATTTCGGAAATAGAAAGTTGGGAAATTTAATAAATTAATAACGAAACAAAAGTTTACGAAGAAATTAACTTTTTAAGAGGACATTAATTTAAAAACGAAATGAGAGGAAGAAGAAAAATTTGAAAGAAACGGAAATTTCAAAAAGAAACTGAAAAGAAACGAAAAACGGAAATTTGTAAAAATAATTTAGTAAAAATGCAAATGCAAATGCAAAAATTGTAAAAAGCGTAAACAAAAAAAAGAAATAGAAAAAGACATAATATCGTAAATTCGAAAAGACAAAAAAGTGCATTTTCAATTTCTTCGAACACAAAGAGTTAAAGATAATATTAAAGAAAATAAATAAATAAAATAGAGACATATAGTAAAAAAAAAAGAAAAAAAACATCGTCCGTCTCGATTGCCGAAACATAAACCGCATATTATTATCATACTTTCTGTGTTTTTTACATTGTCCTTTATTTTTTCTTTTTAAAAAAAACTAATTTTCTTTTCCTCTTTTTTTTGTGGAAAAATAATTTTGCCTCGTAGTTGCCTGCGTTCACATCCACGAAAAAAAAATATATATATACAGAGATGATGACTCGCTCTCCCAATAGACATTTTTTATAATATACATAAAATAATAATAACACGTGAATGTTAAAAAAAAAAAATTTCTTTTCATTCTATGATTCTTTTCCCTTCAGTAATACATATACATATATAAATATATATATAAACAATATATATATTTAAATAAATGAAAAAAAAAGAATGGAAAAAAATATTGCTTACTCGCGTACAAATCTTAAGAAAAAATAGGCGTAATTATATTCGAAAATGATGATCATAATGATGATGATGATGATGATGATGAAAAAAGCAAACAACAGAATCGATTGTTTTACACACTAATATTATTATAATTATATATATATAAGGTATATAATTATTACGTATAATTATAAAGTTGAAAAAATATATAATTATATATTATATATATGTAATTATAATAAAGAAATGAATATATTTATAATTTTACCATTTACCATCTAGTTTTTACTGTCATTTAAGAAATTAAGAAAAAAAATAATGGTTACTCTCCACTTGCAAGAGCTCGCTGTACAAAGGATTAAAAAAAAATAAATACAGTGGAATTTGATAATGGGCCCAATTCACTATTACCGAATTTTATGAAATATATTGTTCTTATCCTTTATTTTTTCGAGCGGGAATTGCAAATTTATTCTCCAGAAAATTATTTTTTAAAATAGTTTTTTTTTTAATTTTTAGATTTTTCCTTTTGTATTTTAAATTTTTAATATATTTTTTGTTGAATTTATTTAAATGTTAATTATTAAAAATTTAGTTTCTTCACTTCAAGAAATTCAATTACTTTTAAATTCTAAATAAAATTTTTCCGAAAGGATTTAATTAGGGAAATTTAAGAAAATTCTTCAGAGAAATGCAATTATTATGAAATGTTTTAATATAATTCTATTCAAGAATTTTATTATTTTCTAAATTTTTGATAAAATTCTTTATAAAGGTCAATATTTTTTAATGAAATTATGAAAAAAATTGTATTTAATATTCAATTATTTTCAATGCAATTTTAATAAAATTCTTCGTCAGAATTAAATTATTTTCAAAAATAAAAAAATTCTTTCCCCAAAATTCAATTATTTTTATAAATAAAAACAATTTTTCTGAGGAATTTAATTAATAATTTTTATTTTCCAAATTTTTGGCAAAATTCTTTATAAATTTCAATTGCTTTCAATTTAATTTCAATAAAAATTTTCTATAGAATTTAATTATTTTCCATATTATTCACTATATTTCTTAAGAATTCAATTATTTTTAATACAATTTACTACAATTCTTTTCAAAAATTCAATTATTATTAATTTTTTAATAAAATTTCTCGAAGGAATTGAATTATTTTCAAAAAATAATTCAATTATTTTCGAAATTTTTGGCAAAATTTTGTATAAATTTCAATTCATTTAAAATAATTGAATATTTGCAGAAATTTATAATTTTTAGATAGCTACTGTTTTACCATTTCTTTTCAGTTTTAAAGCAACTTTTTTAAAATTAATTATCGAGTGCGCAGTCAGCAATATAAACTATAATAATTAATTAATAAATAACAATATAAACGATAATAGTAAATAAATAATAATTTGAACGATAATAGTAAAATGAATAAAATTTCGAATGATAATAGTAAATAAATAGAAATTTGAACGTTAATAGTAAATAAATAAGAATTCGAACGTTAATAGTAAATAAAGAATAATTTTAACGTTAATAACAAATAAATAAAAATTCTGAACGATAATGGTAAATAAATAAAGATATAATCGACAATAGTAAATATAAAATTATAAACAATAATAATAAATAAACAAATAACAATAGAAATAGTAATAATAAATAAATAACAATAAAAAAAATATTTTCCTTTTGTTGAGACATATTTTTTAATTAGAAAAAATTGAGTTTCTTTTCTTAACAAATATAAATAGAGACGTACGTGAAATATATGAGGGAAGTGAGAGACTTTTTTCTTGAGGATTTTTAGTGATGAATGTGGGGCACGAAAATTTTCATGAGGAGATGATAGCTATAAAAAATAGCGGCGTTAACTGGAATAGAACGAAGAGTAATCATTGTCGTTCCTTTGAAAAAGCCATGAATACCTTCATTTTTGTATAAACGATGACTGCAATCAATCATCCCTTTGTAAGTTCGATTATGAAATTCATCCGCTTGAATTCTCGACTTGACAGTATCAAATGGAATTACCGGTAACCAAGACAAAACGCCTACACGGTATTTTCATTTTAATTCAAATTTTACTTTTTTTCGCCTTTAAATAAATAATAATAAATATTTTTCCAAAAGTTAAGTAATATTTCAATTTTACTGTACGGGTTTTATTTTTTATTATTTATTATTATTTTATTACTTATTTTTAATATATTATATTTATTATTATTTCTATTTGTATTATAATAATAATTATTATTATTACATTTATTATTACTGATTAATTTTCACTAAATTTATTCAAATTTTTCCGCTTTTAAGATTGCAAATTATAAAGAATTCAGACAAAGAATTTCATTATTTATCTAAAAATAATTTAGTTCTTGACAAAAAGATATTGTTTCTTAATTAATTCACGAGTGCAAAGCATGAAAATATTTTTCTTTCTGAAAAAGAAGATAAATTAATTGCAAAATTTTTTATTACCTGCAATTCCACCGGCGACAAGAATTTCTAAATTTCCAGGCTTTAAATTTTCCTCACCATTTAAATTGTATCGAAAGTATTGATAACTCACCATGTAAATTGCATTGGAAATAACGTCCCTGATTAAAAAAAAGTAAATTAAAAGAAGTAAATTAACAAAAATAAATTAATAGAAATAAATTAACAAAAATATTAAAACTATTGATAATATTGTCAATAATAATATTATTATTGTTGTTGTTAAAATTAGAAAAAAGTACCTGCAAATCGTCGGAACAGCTCCGATGAAAAATCCATTAATTCCATATTTTTGATAAATATCTCGAGTCACGAGAAAGGTACTTGATTTTCTCCTTTTATTACTATCGAGAAATTTTGCTTTGCACTTTCCTGAAAAAATTTCTTTCATCAAAAAACTGTTTTTATTTAAATTTAACTGTTTTAAAAATATAATTGTAAAAATGAAATATATTATTTATTACAATAAAAATATAAAATTATCTTAAAAATAAAATAAAATTAAAAACAAAAATAAAATTTAACATACTTATAACATTAATACAATTAATAAAATATTTTCTCAAATTTAATTGTTTAAAAAATATATTGGTATAATTGTTGGATTTATTTCAATAAATAAAATTAAAATTAAATTAAAATTAAAAATAAAATATATTATTTTAATATTCTTATTACACAAAAATGTAATATTAGCTTAAAAATTAAATTAATTTAAAAACAAAAATAAAATTTAGCATTTAATTTATAACATTAATATCAATAAAACAAATTCAATAAAAATAAATAATAAAGTCAATAAAATAAATCTGTAAAATAAATAAATTGGTATTATTGTTATAAATTATTGATATAAACTAATAAATACCTTTTCCAGTTTGAATTCGTATTTTAATAAGTTCACTCGGACAGGAAATGAATGATTGTGCCAATCCACCAATAGATCCGGATAAAAAATTATCGTAACTGTATCCGGAATTAGTTGGAAGAATATTATTTGGATTGTTCCCTCGCTTGCTTTGTAAAGAACTTAAAGAAAATGCGTAGACTCCAAAGAAAACGGCATTTAATATTCCTGAAGACATCAAAGGGAAATACATTCCTTTATAGAGACCTGAGATCTAAATTTTTTAACCTCTATATATATTTAAAAAATTTTTTTTCAAGAACAAAAAACTTCACAAATTTTGAGGTTAGGAATTTGATAAATTCGTATATGATTCGTTCTTATTAAGAAAAAAATATAAATAAATATATTCATTTTAAAATTATATCATATCTTTAATATTCAATAATTGAAGTAAAGAATTCTATTTAATTATATTTAATTCTATTTAATCATATCTTTAATTGAATATTAGAAATTGTTAAATTATCGAAACTTAGAACTTACTCCATTTTTTGCGACAATTATTTTGACACTTTCTCGTATGGATAATCGTTGACCTAAACTCATTTGTTGTTCGGTTTTAATCGTATCCATTGGATGACCAACTATCAGGCCAAAAATTCCTATGGAAACAATATTAATTCACTAATTACCCTAATTACTAATATTTTCACGATTTTCATTCACCCGAGTATTTGTTTTCATTTTGTAACTTTCGTTTAATTTACAATTTCTAGGTTAGGGTGTCAGAAAAAGTCAAAGTTATAATAAGGTAAAAAATTGCTATTAAAAAAGAATTCTAGTCTCAACAACTTGTAGTCTACTTTAAGTCTAGTTTAACAAAAAAATCGCCAAAATTCTGCAATTGACGGAATAATATTTACAAAACCCGAAACAAAAGGTTTTTTTTTACTTACCAGCCCCCCATCCTGCAACGAAAGCCGCAGAATTTTCCATCAAATTGCATTATGGGAAATTGGAGTCGAAAGAGTAATTTAGATTTATATTACTTAATACTTTCATAACAAAGAATTTTTACACATTTCGCAAAAATAGGCGCAATTTGTAATTAGAACTTAGAAGTAAATGCAAACTGTCAAATTTGAGAAACAAAACTTTTGTTAACTTTTGTATTTCTTGCAAAGTATTATTTTCATTTGTTTTTTTCGAATTTAAATGCTTTTTCCGCGCAAAGTGCGCACGCATGGATAAGTTGCGCAAACAAGATGCGCACTGGAGACTTTTTTAAAATGTGTGTTCTCGTGTGTGTGCGAACTGTCAAAAATCACTGAAAATGGCGAAATTAAAACTAATTGTTGACAAGTAATTCGGAAAATTTCAACTAAAAATCTTCATTCACTCGCAAGTGTTCTTCTACAATTGTCAAAAAGTTTATTCTTTTCCGGAATTATTAGAAATTCGATATAATGTCATTCGTAGTGAAACCTAACCTCAAATTCTGTCATGAGGAATTGAACTTATTTTTCAACTTGAAAGACTTGAAACAATTTCCACTATTTTTCAGTCGTAATTACGAAACGTAATTACGATTATGAAAGTTTCTTTATTGGAAAAAACTCAAAATATTTGTTTTTCGTAAATCCTGAATGTTTTTGTAAAAATTACATTGTTCCCCTTTTGTTTTGTTTCGTCATATTTTCTATTAAAAAAAGAACTATAATTATTCGGTGTTCGTGTAATTTTAGAAAAGAATTAAAAAATGAGTGTCTTAATGCGTTGTCCGGGTATTTATTGTGGTCGTGAATTGTTTATCGACGGGAATTGGAGTGATTGTGGTGCGTGTCCCCGTGGTTACAGGACGAATTTATCCTCGGCATGTGTTCCCTGCGAAGATACGCCAGTTTTTTACGATTGGCTCTATCTTGGATTTATTGCAATATTTGCCCTGGTGCTGCATTGGTTTTGCATCGATATGGTTGCCATGAGGCGTAACATACCAAAGGAAGTGATAGCTCTTCATTGTTCGGCGATCGTTGAAATAATCACCGCATCGATTATCACTCTGCAATTAATTGATCCTCTCGGTTCATTCAATGTTCGTTCATGTCGAACGCAAAAATTATCCGACTGGTATACATTGCTTCATAATCCAACGCCGAATTATGAAAAAACACTTCATTGCACCCAGGAGGCTGTTTATCCCTTGTGAGTATTTATAATCAGGATTGACACCAGGTCGCAGAGAAAAGTCAAGGATTTTTTATTAAAAAAGTATTGCAAAAAAAATTAAATTTTTAGAATTTAGAAAAAAATTCAAATCTTTGAAAATCTGAATTTTTATCATACTTTTAATTTTAATAGTTCTGTAAAATTAATATTTTTTTCAAAAATTTTAATTTCAATTCTGTTGACATTTAGCTGAATTTTTTTAATATGTATATTTAATATTATTTTAACAATTTTAACGTAATTCCCATAATTCTTCCAAGAAATTCAACTATCTTGTTAAATATTATCAAAATTCTTCCCAAAATTCAATTACTTACAAGATTTTTAATAAATTTTTTTGTAAAATTCAATTATTTTCAAATTTCATAAAATTCTTCCCAAGAATTCAATTATCTTATAAAATTAAAATTTCTTGCAGAAATTTAATTATTATAAAAATATTAATTAAATTCTTGACATAAATTCAAAATAATTCAATTATTTTCAAAAATGTTTTTTAAATTTTTCTAATTAATTCAATTATTTTCAAAAAAAATAATAAAAATCTTCGTAAAATTCAATTATCTTGATACATATCAAAATTCTACAAAAAAATTCAACTATTTTCAGAAATTTTAATAAATTTATTTGCAAAATTCAATTATTTTCATAAATAACCATATTTATTATTAGAATTCAATTATTTTGATAAGTAATAAAATTCTTCGCTAGATTTCAATTATTTTTACAAATAATACAATTTTTAATGGAATTCAATTATTTAAGAAATTTTAATAAGATTCTGCACAAGATTTCAATTATTTTTACAAATAAAACTTTTTACGTTAATTCAATTTAATTTTAAAAAAATTGTAATAAAATTCTTCGTTAGAATATTAAATTATGTTCAATGTTTTAGTGAAATTGCTAGAAGAAATTAAATTATTTTCAGAAAATTGAAAAAAATTATTTGACTAGTTTTTAATAAAATTCTTTGCAATATTCAATTATTTTTATAAATAAAAATATTCATCACAAGAATTCAATTATTTTTACAAATAATACAATTTTTTACTGGAATTCAATTATACATAAGTAATTTTAGTAAAATTCTTTGCAAGAAGTCAATTATTTTCAAAAATAAAATTTTTCACAGGAAATCAATTATTTTCAATAATTTTATAAAATTCTTCGTCACAATTTTATTAATTTCAATGTTTTACTGAAATTATATGAAGAAAGTAGATTATTTTAAGAAAATTAAAAACAAATGTTTTGAAAAATTTAAATAAAATCCTTCCAGTTATTTAAATTTTTTAATAAACTTTCTCGAAAATTCAATTATTTTAAAAAAAAAATTTAATAGAATTCTTCGTCAGAATTCAAGTATTTTTAAAACTTTTATTAAAATTAAAATTCTTGGTCAGAATTAAATTATTTAAAATTTTTTTAATGAAATTTCTAGAAAGAATGGAATTATTTGCAAAAAATTTGAAAAATTCAATTATTTAACAAGATTTTATTAATATTCTTCGTAAGAATTCAATTATTTTCAAAAGATACAATTATTTTTATAAATAACAAAATTTTTCATAGGAATTTAATTATTTTTTACAAATAATACAAAATTTTTACTGGAATTCAATTATTTAAGAAATTTGAATAATTCATTCAAATATTTTCATAAATAATAAAATTCTTTTGAAAAATTAAATTATTTTCAATACAATTTTAAGTGAATTCCTCGAGAAATGTAATTATTCTTTTTATAAATGAATCGAATTTTAAATACATTTATAATAAATAATATTATTTCTAATATTCTTTATTGTAAAAAAAATAATTGTTCTTTTTATAATTAAGTCGATTTTTTGATGATTTTATAATGTAACCTAATATTTTTCTCAATAATGATTTCTTTTCAAAATGCAAACAAAATAATAAAAGATATTTTTTTGAAAATTTCTTTTAGGTACACAATGGTGTTTATATTTTACGCGTTTGGAATTTTAATAATGCTGCTGTTACGACCGTTGATAGCGCGAAAATTTCTGCCAAAACAGGGAAAATTTTCTATTTACGCGGCATTATATTTCTTTCCGATTCTCGCTCTATTTCATGCAATTGGCGGGGGACTTATATGTAAGTAAAGAAAAAAAATACACAGTTCTTCATCTCTTTAAAACGTTGATATGATACTTTATTGTCTTAATTTTTTTCACTAAATATTTTACAGATCATTCGTTTCCTTACATAACAATTGTCTTGTCTGCTCTCTCAAACGCAGCGCATTTCGCCTTCAAACTTAATCAGGTATTATTCAAATTTAATTTATTTGAATTTCAATTTTATTTAACAATTTTATTGTTTTTTTTTGTTTATATTTATTATCATTTGTTATTTATTATTATTTATCATCAGGTATAATTCAATACTTCAAATTTAATTTATTTGAATTTTATTTATTTAAAATTTTTTTCTTTCTGAATTTATTTTCATTTATTTATATTTATTTATTTTCTATTCCTTTTCTTTTAGATAGTTTTTTTCTTCTCGATAGATTTTTTTTCTAGACAGATTTTTTTTCTAGAGATAGAAATAAATTTTTATACAAGTCATTAAAATTTTTGTATTTTGAATTGTATTAATTTTTTTTCTTAACTTGTTTTTTTGTACAGACAATGAAATCGTTAATCTTCAGTTCGGTATCGGATGTGAAGAATATAATCGTCATTATTGGCCATTGGCTTTTACATGGATATGGAGTAATGTCAGCGGCAACATTACACGGTATTGCGCTTCATCCAACAATGCTAATTTTAGTTCCACTGCCAGCGTTATTTTACATTCTCACTGCAAGGTTTACTGATCCACATAGACTTCAGGAGAAATGAAATCAACTTCCACCCTCATTGCAACGAAATAAAAAAGAGTTCAATTTCTTGTATTATAAACTATTGTACACTTGTATATATATACAATCAACGTTACGTTTGTTAATAAAAAATTTCCTACTACTGTGTAAAACGAAATCGATTTTTCTTTATTCGTCAACAAATTTATTATTTATTTTAATTAACAAATTTATTTTAATTAATGAATATTATTTATTTCAATGTTAAAGGAACATTTTTTTTTACTAAAAAAATGGATATTTTGGTAAAAGAATTTCAAATTTTCTTTTTAGGTTTTTCTTTTTATTTAAAATGAGTAAAGGCCAAAAAAATGTAATTTATAATGCCCTTTAATACTTTCAACACTTTTATATAACGAGAAGACGAGATTAATATTTTAATTTACAATTAATATTCACAGTCTGCTGAAATTTGTGAATAAAAAAAATTGATTCGCAGATAATATCAAAATAAGATCATTGAGTAAAAAAGATAAATGCAATAAATAGCTTACATGCGTTTTCTTAAAACACGATTAAATCTAGATTTTTTTTTTTTTGGTTTTATATGAGTTTTCGTTTTTATTGTCTCTTTTTTTTCTTAAATATCCTGTCTCTTTGTGTGTGTTTTTTTTTGTGTATTTAATCTCTCAGACTTAGGCCGTTGCTTCTGGAGAAACAAAACTCACGACTATTGTACTCTTTGGAGCCATGGGAACTGCATTTGCGTTCAGTTTTGTGATTCTGTTGAAAAAAGCAATTATTTAAAATAATATACTTCATTCAAGTAATTTTTATTTTAAGAAAATCATAAATTTTGTTAATAAATAAATTTAATTCAATAATTTATTTAATTTAATTATTTTAGAAAGTAAATTTTGAAAAATTTTCTAATCTAAAAATTTGTTTCTTCTTCTAAATAAGTTATTTTTTGATCGAAAAAAAACTGCAACGATTTTTGTAAATTGCAGCGACTCTAATAAGGAAAAAAATACTAAAACTAATAAATAATAAAAAAAAAATTGCAGCGACTCTATAACAATGGAAAAAAAATACTCACGTTGTGTCGATTCCGCCTCCCGAGGAATTTGGACTTCGAGCGATCACTTTGACTTCATTTCCAATATCAGAAATGGACGAAAAGTCGACTAATCTTATTTGATTTTCACTATTGTAGGCCACTAAATAACCAGGACTTCCGCTCTTTAACCTAAAAATTGCGAAATTAATTAAAAAATTGAAAATTGACGAATTTAATTTCTAGGAATAATTTTAATAGTTTGCTAGTAATGTAAGGAAATCTAAGGAGATTTTTCGGTAAAAACTTACCAGTGCCTGTCAGGCAATAAAGCGTGAAACAAGATAAAGCAATTTTTAGCTTCCGTGACATAAAAAAAAAATTTAAACGCTACCGTAATTTTCTCATTAACTACTTTAACACGAATTCCACTCGTATTTGTAACATTAAAATAGTAACAAATAAGTAAAAGAAAATATATAAAATACAATATACAAAATATAATATAAAAAATAATAATAAAAAAAAAATTGTTAACTTTCACTATAGTTTTGTTTTTTCAATGGTTAATTAAAATTGAGTATTAAAAAAGTAATGAATAAGTGAAGAAAAATAATTTTTATTAAATGATTAATTAAAAACCAGAATAATTGAGCTTTTAAATGGTTAATTAAAAATAATAACAAAAAATTAAAAACAATCTTTTTCCTTCGAATTAAAAGACTAATTTCTTTCGATAAGTTTCTCTTTAAAAATAATAATCTTTTCCTTCTAAATTATAAAATTAATTCTTTTAAATGAGTTTCTCTTTAGCAGGCTTTGTACTTCATAATTAATTTAAAAAATGTATCAAAAACTATCTTAAACTCTGAAAAAAGGAGTAAAAATATTTTCTTTCTTTCTTATCCTGATAATAACTTCAATTCTTAATTTTTGCAAAATTCAATTATTTTCAAAATTTTAATTTCAAATTCTTCAACTTTTACGATTACTTATGTTTAAAAATAACCTTTAAAAAGTAAAAAAAAATTAAATTCCTTAAATTATAAAATTTATTTCAATTAAATTTGACAAAATTTCTAAATAATTGCAAATTTAATTCAATCTTTTAAAATTATTTATGGGAATTTAACTATCTTCAAAAATTTTCTAATTACAATTTCTCGAAATACTAATTTTTTTCATAATTATAATATAAAATATTTTCAATTATTATTTAAATGTAAAAACCTTTTTGAAATTCAACTATGTATTTCTATAAATTACAACTGTAATTCTTCGAAAAACAACTTTTACAACTTTTTCAAAATAATTAAATTCCTTCGAGAAATCTTATTAACAAATTAATAATAATTGAATTTTAAGAAGAATTTTAATAAATTGTATTAAAAATAATTGAATTCTTAAGAATTGTAGTAAATAGTATTGAAAATAATAGAATTCCATAGGAAAATTATATTAAAATTGAATTGAAATCAATTGAAATTTATAAAGTATTTTGTCAAAAATTTAGAAAATAATTGAATTCTTGTCAAGAATTTTATTAAAAATTTTCACAATAATTGAATTACTCAGAAGAATTTTCTTAAATTTTCTGAAAATAATTGACTTCTTTTGAGATATTTTATTAAAAAATGCAAAATAATTCAAAGAATTTTAAATTGAATTATTCAGAATATTCTTTCAATTTTCTGAAAATAATTGAATTCTTTCGAGAGACATTATTAAAAAATTGAAAATAATTGAATTCATGGGAAAATTTTATATTATTTATGAAAATAATTGTATATTTGCAAAGAATTTTATCGTTTTTAATAATTTAATTATTTTTGGTAATTTTATAAAAATAGTAGGTATTGGAAATAATTGAATTTTGAATATTTTTTTGAAAATAATTTCAAAGAATTTAATTAAAATCGTTTTTATTGAATTAGAAAATTAATATTTTTGAAAATAAGTTTCTCCTTAAGAATAATAATCTTTTTCTTTTAAATTAGAAGATTTTTTAAGAATAAATTTCTTTTCTAGAATAATAATAATCTTTGTATTATAAATTAGAAAATGTATTTTTGTAATAAGTTTCTCTTCAAGATTAAATAATAAAAAAAAACAGTTGAATATGAAGGCACCTTGGGATCTGAATGTAATAATTTGAAAAAAGAAAGAGTCTAAAAAAGAATCAGAAATAGAAAAAGAAGAAAATTTACCTCGTGTAAGCAAAAATTTGCGTATTATTCATGACGTAGGTTTTTGTCTCGCCGTACTTGAAACCGTCTGTTTCTCGTTTTTTGGACACTTCGTCAAAAGCATCACGGATTGAGATTACGTCCTTGTATTTAAAAACTGGAGTTCCTGGCAAAAGTAGAACCATCAGCGTTATACTTTCGGCAACAGGTTCTGGAACTCGTGACCTCAATGGCTGATATCTTCCATTAATCTATTCACAGAGAAGAATATTTTATGATAAGAGAAGAATTATTTATGATAAATATTTATAATGATAACAAAAAAATAAATATTTATCATTAATAATTAATTTTTCTTATTATAGTAATTTTATTCGTTTTATTCAGGGACGAAAGTCAATCCCATTTATTTTTTTTAAATGTATCAAAAATTTTTTATTTTCAACTTACGTCCCAAGCTGGCCACTCGGACCTTCGAAGAATATTCGTGATATTTCCGTCCAGTGTTGTCGCTGATAAATCGACAGTGGCTGTCGTTAAAAATTGTGAACTTTGCGGCAAATCTATTAGCACTCCGCTTGTTACGTGATCATTGAAGACTTGCAAAACGTCGGGACTAATGTCGTCACGAAGAGTAAACAAACTGCAATCATTCACAATTGAAATTAATCAATTTTGCGCAAAAATAAGAAAAATAGAAGAAAATAAGAAAAAAAGAAGAAAACAAGAAAACAAGAAAAGAAAATTCTAGTGTGAATTCTAGTAAAAACTTTAGTAAAAATTAAGATAATTAAAGAAATTAAAATAAAAAAATACAAATTAGAAAATTTAAAAAACTTTGAAATTGAAATTTTAATTACAAATTTTATAAATAGAGAATTACCCCTGGCCGTTTGTGACATTTAGAACGACATTGCGCCACTGACGTAAAACTTGTCCGTTTTCGATGCGCTCCCGAGTTCTGATATGATTTAAGGAGTCATAGGCTCCAGGAGTTCCTCTCAGACTCTCCTCATCCAAAAGATTTGGATCCTCGGTTAGGAATTGTGCGTTTTCGAGTCTGAATCCACTGAAGCCCAAATCTAACCAGTACTTGAGAATTTCCTACAGAATAATTAAGAATTAACGAATGAATAAATTAATAAAGTAAATTAAGGAATTCCTATAGAATAATAAACTAATTAATAAATTAATTAATTATTCTGTAGGAAATTTAAATCAATAACTTTTGTGCGTTATTTTTAAAATTCTTTTAAATTGTCCAATATTTAAAAAAAAGAGGAATTTTTCCTGAAAAATTTATACCTCGAATTCTTTGACGACAGCAGGATTATGAAAATTGAGTTCAGGTTGAGTTTTGCCAAATTGATGGAGATAATACTGTTTCCTCTGCTCGTTCCATTCCCACGCAGAATCGCCGTAGACGCTCAACTACAAAGAATTATTTTTTTAAAATTAGTCTCTAAAAGTAAAAAAGTTAATCATTTAAAAAATAAATCAAACTCAATCAAAGAATTATTTCTTTAAAAATAGTCTCTAAAACTAAAAAAGCTAATCAAGTAATTTTAAAAATAAATCAAACTCAATCAAAGAAACTAAATTAGAATAAATCAAAGAAAAAGAAAGATTTTGTAAAATAATTAAAAGAAAAAATACCCAATTATTTGGAGGACTTCTGCCAACATTTTCACTCTTTGGACTCGCCCAAATATAATAATCGTTATAATTTCCATTTCTAGCGACAGACTCCTTGAACCACTTGTGCTCCAACGACGAATGATTTGGGTCAAGTTCAAGAATCACATGTTTTCCTTTTGATTCCGCAGCTTCAATGAACGATTTCAAATCGTCAATTGTTCCTAAATTACTTCGAATGCTGCGGAAGCTTATCGTCTGACCTGCAAATGAGCAAAGAAATAATTATTAAATTATTAAATAATTAATTTACTAAACAAATTAAATCAAACAATCAAAACGTAAAATTATTTATAAGAATTACAGAAAATTTCTTCCAATTTATTAAATTACATTTAATTAATTAAGTGAAAAATAAGAAATTATAGCTAATTAATTAATAAAATAAATCGTTTTTTCTCGTTTTGAAAATTTTGATTTAAACGATTTAAAATAAACTTTACTGAAATGGTGAAGATAAAGATTTCATTTTTGAATTTAATTTGTTAAGTGAGTTTCGAAATTGAAAGTTACACATTGAAAAATAGTGAAATATTTGTATTTCGGGTAATTTACAACAGAGTTTTACGTTTAGCGCCCGTTAAGTGAATTTAAAAATATGTAAGTTGGAGAGATTAGAAAAATGAAAACTCATTTAGATAAAAGAAACAATATTCTTCGTTAAATTGCGCTCAATATTTTCGTTCTATTACAATTGTTTTTTTTTTAATAAATAACTTTTCAATTTTTCAAAAAATCCCCGGAAAGTGACTCAGTCGGGAAATAATTTAATTTTCGTTCTAAAATTAGAGAAAAAAGTAAAAACTAAACGAAATAAACAACGAGACAAACGAAATAATCAATAAGACAACAAATAAGAAAAATAAATAAGTAAATAAATATGAAATAAAATTTATTTATTTATTTTTGGTATAAAAAATAAAAAGAGTAAAAATCGAAAATGAAAAATGGTACCTATAAAAAATAAAAAATAGTATCAAAAATAAAAAAGTAGTACAACAATAAAAAAAAAAAAAAATAGTATCAAAAATAAGAAAATAGTATAAAAACTAAAAAATAGTATCAAAAATAAAAAATAGTATCAAAAATAGAAATAGTAGTAAAAAAATAAAAAGAGTAGAATCAAAAATAAAAAAATAGTATCAAAAACAGAAAATAGTCTCAAAACTAAAAAATAGTATTAGAAATAAAAACAAAATAGTTCCAAAAATAAAAAATAGTATCAAAACTAAAAAATAGTATCGAAAATAAAAAAATAGTGTCAAAAATGGAAAATAGGATAAAAATAAAAAATAATTATCAATACGTGAAAAAGAGTATAAAAAACAAAATATTATTTGCAAAAGAAAAAAACAAATTACCATTTGCATCGGTCTCGAGAATCGACGCGAGGGAAATTGTTTTGACATTGAGCTGCTCCAGAGGATAGAGTAAATCTTTCATGTCTTTTAATTTATGCGTTGAAGTATCGAATTCATCGAGATGAATAATTGGACTCTCCTGCCACCATTTTCTTGGCTCTGGTGAATTGCATTTCGGCGCAATGACAACAATTGCAACAGCGCCCGCCAACATTGCCGCCCAAAGCACCCAGAATGCAATAAACAAAAACCATCGCAATCGAATCCAAAATGGATCGTTCGCAAATTTCATCAATTCCTCTTTTCCCATTCCCGACAGTACTTCCTTAACAGTTCCAAGATCAATTTTCGCGTCTCCATTCTCCGAGACGTATTTCACCTGCAAAAAAAGTTAGAGAGAAAATTAGAAACAATTAAAATTTGTAGTTTATTAAAATTAAATTATATTTCTAACTAAATTTTTACTAGGAAAATAAATAAAAAAAGTCAATAAAAAAATATAGAATAAAAATAATAAAATAAATAATGGCAAAAATAAATAAACAATAAAAATGAATAACAAAAATCGAAAAAATAATTTATTAAACAATTGTGGAAGAATTTAAAAAATATATTTAAATAAAAAATATAATATAATAAATAAAAGAAAATTCTCGAATAACTAAGAAAAATAAGTAAATAATAAGAATGACAAAAATAAATTCTAATAAATAAAATAAAAATCTAAAATTTTTTCTTATTTACGAATTCTTTTGTATTGAAGTAATTCGATTGTCTTTTTTTGCAAGAATTATGTTTATATTCGCTCATTTTCTCAAGAAGGAAAATAATAATTTTTCTTTTTTTGAATCGAAGGCTTCTTATTATTTGAAGGCCAAAAAGATATTATAATCTAGTCGGCATTCAAACTATTCAGTTATAAATTAATCACGTCTCGAGAGTTAATATTTAATCAGCGCTGGAAATGAAAAGACCGACAAAAGTAATTTTTTGAGAGGGCGAAATCTTGACTCCGTGTAACTATTTAACGTCCTGATTATTTTAGTAAAAAATTCGAGAATTTTTCAATACAATTTTTGTTTTTTATCAATTTTGTTAATTAAAATAGTAGAAAACTCAAGAATTTTTCAAAATGATTTTTTTTCATTAATTTTGTTAATTAAAATATTAAAAAATTCGAGAATTTTCCAAAATGATTTTTTTTCATTAATTTTTGAATTAAATAGTAAAAAATTCGAGAATTTCTCAATATAATTTTTTTTTTCATTAATTTTGTTAATTAAAATAGTAATAAATTCAAGAATTTTTCAATATTATTTTTTTTTATTAATTTTGTTAATTAATATAGTAAAAAATTCCAATAGAAGAAAATAGTATTAAAAAAGTTACAAAAAGCCTGGTAATGAAAACAATTAAAAAAATAAAAAATAAACAGTGAAAAAATTAATTAATTAATTAATGAAAAATAAACTTTTTTTCACGAAAAAGTAAAAGAAACTTTTAAAAAGAACTAAAAATTAAAAAAATAACAGTGGAAAAATAATTTATTAATAAAAAATAAAAAAAAAGTAGAAATAAACGTTTTTAGTTTGAAAAAGTAAAAAATACTATTTTTACGAAACTGTAAAAAAGAAAAATAAATTAAATAAAGAAAAGTAAATAAATTTATTTATACTGTAGAAAATAAATTTTTTTAATCAATTATAATTATCGCAGTCTTGTTAAAATTCTTCTGTTCCGACACTTTGACAAAACGTCATTTTTAGGTTATGTTTATCTGTCAAAATAAAAGCATGGCCAATTATCCAATAATCAAAATTGCTTTTAAACCTTTTTAACATTTCGGCAATTTTGAAATTTCTTATTTTTCGAATACATTTTAGAATAAATATTTTTCTAGCTAATTCCTGCAGCGAATTTTTAAAGAGAAATAGTAAATAATTCAAATAATTTATCACTAAAATAAAAAGTAAAGATTTTTTATTTTCATTTCCTGCGAGTCTAATACATAAACATTTTGCAAATAAAAAACAGCAAATTTATATACGAAAGTAGGATTTTATTCAAGGATCCTTTCCCCACTCGTCCTGCAAAAATCAATAAAGCCCACAAACCTTGTTTAACAACCCTTGAAAGACACGAAAGACTTGAAAGAAATCGAAGAAAAAACCTTTTTTTTACGAAGAAAAATGATCAAATTATCAAATTAACACTTTTACTTTTTAAAACCAATAAATCTTTGTAATTTTACAAGTAATCTAAAAAAGAAGAGATAAAATATAATTGAATGTTTCAATAATAATTACAAAGTAAACAAGCGGCATTATTCTCGATAGAGAAATAAAATTGAGGTTATTTTCGAGATGATGCAACATAAGTGAAGATTTACTCTTTCTTTATTATATTAATTGAACTATCAGGCTATCAATCATCAGTCAATAAAAAGAAATTAATGATTTGCGTGAGAGAGAAAAAATTTCCACACCTTAAAAGTTCGGAGATAATTTTCATTGCGAATAAAAAAAGCAATCAGGAAAACAATATCTATTGAATAAATTGTTTCCGGGTATGGTTTTTTTTTCGACCACGCAGACTCATCTCAGTAATTGAATTAAAGTTCACAGTTCATGGGAGTTGGGAGAGATAATACAATTAGAATTAGAATTTAAAACTACGGTGAAAGTAAATAGTGTTAAAACTAAATGTTTGTATTTTTTTTACAAAAAAGGAAAAGAGGCGAAAAAAGTCCATGAATTTATAGGTTATGTTTGCTGTCACTTTTCGCTATTTTCCTTATTTCTATTTTCACGATTTTCCCTTTTATCCGAGAATAGAAAAAAGAATTTGAACAATATACGAAAAAAACAAGAAATAAACAATGAATGAATAAAAATGAATAAAAAAAACAATGGAAAGAAATAAACTTACCTCGATGTTGTCCTTTTTCGGTGACAGTTTCACATTATCCTGAAGCATTCGTTCATTAGCCTCGTCGTCGACTTCGGGCTCGGTGCCGTTTTGTTTAACCATTGTGTCAGATTCCGGGACTTGATCCTCCTTTTCCCGCTCTTCCTTCGACTCCTGTTGTTGTTGTTTTTGTTGCCAGTTTGTATCTTCGTCGGGCAACTTCTTGTACGTGGCCTGCACAACTGACTCCTTGGTGCCATTCACCTCATTGCTATCCTCAAGTCTCCCACTCTTGTCCATTGTCGATATGCCTTCAAGGGCGTTATTTTCTTAGACTTACGTAATGTCCGAAACTAGTTATTCCACTATAACTATTATTCCCCACTTTCGTTCAGCAAGACAAGAAAAAAGACACTGTGCCAGCGGAACACCTGCGGTTTTCGACGCTATGCGCCTCGTTCTCTTCTACTTTGTGCAAATAATCGATCGACGGGAAAGAAAAATGGCTTCGTCTATTAGCGATAGTTTCCAATGACCCTTTCGACACTTGTGTCTACATTATAATGCTAAACTTGGAGGAATTACATTAGTTTTTATATATTCATAATTATAATATTACAAATCTGATTTACATAATTTTTTGTTGTTTTTTGTTTATTTAAAACATTTAACTGTAAGGTTAGGTTCGTTTTTGCATCTTTACAATTTTAACCGTTAATTATTATTTTAGTTATAAAATGAAAATAATTAGATTTTACGAAATGAAATTCGGAAAAATTTTGATTTACAGAAGGGAGAAAATTAAATAAATAAAATAAATAATTCACCACGAGGTATTTTAAACAATTTGAGAAATAGAAGTTTAAAAATTCCCGCTATAGCGAAAGGAGGATGTGCGCTTGCGCGAATCGACGACTACGGTAGTCAAGATGACATATTCTTTCCTTTCTTTTTTACTTTTGGAGATAAATAATTATACAATTAGTACTCGAAATTAATAATTCGACTCTTCACAACCAACGTACGTTTGATTTATTTACTAATAAAAGTTCTCCAGGAGCAAAACTGAATAATTTGCATTTTTGATAGTTTATTGTAAATTGTTCGTTCCTTCTTGCAACTTGCAACTTCCTGTTTGAGTCATCGAAATAGCCGGTTGTTTCTATAATTTCGTCCGGATTTAGATTAATAAAGGTGATTACTTTCGTTTTGACAAATATCGGTAAATTAGACACGTGATACTAAAAGTTTCGATACAACACAAGTGTGTAACTACTTTAAAAATTGAAATTTCTCGATAGTTTAATTGTCGCTAAAAGTGAGGTTATGTTTGTCGCGCTCCTTTCGTTTGTTTACATCGTGCTTTACATCATTTCCTTCAAAATTTCAATTTTGAATTAAAAAAGGATTTGTAAAAAAAGTTTGTTTCAATCCAGGGAGTAAAGTGACCTTGAAAACCTTGAATTCTTTTTCCCGTTTTTCCCTTAACAATTTTTGTAGAAAAAAACCCAGGGCTTTTATTTAAGCAACAAAAAAAATTTAATCCTTTTCGATGGAAATGTCAAATTTACATATTTTTGATTTTTATTTTTCAAGGTCAAATTTCTTGTGTTTTTTTACAAAAATGCATAAACTAATCGAAAGAGCGTAAAAAAATTTATCAAAACTGATGTGATTAATATTTTTTTTTAGTAAAGAAAACGAAAAATTATAATATAAACAGTTTCTTTCAAAAATTCTAAAATCTCCCCTAAACATTAATTTTTCCAATTGTCAAAAATAATTTTTCCTATTTATTACTATTTATAAAGACAACTTTTTTCCAAGGAAAAAATTGTTTTTCGGACCTGTGCCACTTGAGAAATAATGCCCCTTATAATTATTATTCATAGTCCATAAATTTTCATTGTTGACAAATTTAAAATTATTATTTGAGCCGCCAGAAAGTATAACCATGCACGCATATAAAATTCTGACGCAAATTGAATTAGCATGTCGGTCAGAATTTTTTATGTGGTTATGAAAATTTAGAGAAAAGTGTTTATTTTAAGATTTTGTTCCATATTTGACATATTTAGAAATTTTTGTTGACAAAATAATAATAATAATAATAATGAAAAACTTGAAAATTAAATTAAATTTCACAATCCAAACAAATAAGTTTATAAATAACAAAAATAATTCGCCACTTGTGACTAATTTTATTTATCTACAATAAGAATGAATTTAAAAATAACACGAAAGTTTTATTTTCAAACTAAAATGAATAAATTCCTCTTTGGTAATCTTTTTAGTGATATGCACGCATTGAAGATTTTATAATGATTCAAAACAAAAGTATTGTAAACAAAAAAAATATTACTTTCTTTTGTTGTAAATTTCGTTTAATTATTATTATTATTTATTTATTTAATTTTATTTTTTAATATTTATATTACAAATTGTTGTATATTATATTTTAATTTCAATCTATTGTTATTATTTATTATTATATTTAATAAAATAATCATAAAATTAATATATAAAAATAATAAATTATTATTATTACTGTGAATTATTTTCGTGAAAAATAAAATTCTTCTCTAGAATTTAATTATTGTCAAAAATTTTAGTAAAATTCTTTGAAACAATTCAATTATTTTCGTAAAAAATAAAATTCCTCTTAGGAATTCAATTTAAAATTATTTTGACTTTTGTAGTAAAAATTTTTAGTAAAACTTTTGAAATAAAAATTTTCGAAACAATTCAACATCTAATAAAACTCTTTCTGGGAATTTAAATATTTTATAGAAATTTGAATAAAATTTTTCAAAAGAATTTAATTATTTACAACATTAGGAAATATTTTTTTACATTCTTCCACAATTATTTAATAAATTATTTTTTCGATTTTTGGAAGAAGTCTAAAAGGTGAAAGAAAAAAAACTATCTTTCACTATTTTTATTCTTATTATAATTTTATTATTATTATTATTATTGTTATTTCTTTATTATTGTTAGTATTTTCTTTTGGCAAGGGTTCTTATAAATTTCTTACATTTCTTACAATTTTTACAAATATTTTCTTATTTATTTTTCCAGGTCTGAAAATCCTTACGAGAGTTATATAGAAGTAATTTTTCCACCAGTATGAGAATAATTGACCTATCACAATAATTGAAAAAAAAGACAAAGGAGAATAAAGAGTGTAATTACTTCTTGGAAATGAAAAGCTAGTTTTATCAGTACAACAAAAAAACAATCAATTATGGACGTGAAGAATAATTGTTTAATTTGAACAATTGGTAATTATTCGCAACATATTTTTACATTTTGTACGAAAATAAATGTAAATCGTAATAATAATAATAATAATTTGTAATGTAAATAATATTTAAATATTTGTTTTCTTTTACAGAGCCAAAGTCGGTGTATTTAATTTTTCTAAAAAGGAGAATAAGAAGAGTGCGGCATAAAAAATTATTTTTAAGCAAACATCAATTTTTTCGGCAAATGTAAACAGTTTTTGTAAATTCTGCTTACGCGAAATATTTGCAAAAAACCGGTTTCTTATTGCAAATAATATACACATATGAAAATAGAAGGAGCTATAAAGACCGGTTTGGCCTAGACCTTGGGTAAGTTTAACATGCAACATCAATAGAGGATTTTTTTTAAAGTCTTAAAAATAATTTTTGCTATTAATTTCCTTTCAGTCTTTTTTTTTTGTTCTCGATTTATTCCTGAAATCGTTGAGGAGAGATTAATCGCACGCGCATGCTCAATTTTTTAAACATGAGGACACAAAGTAGGAATAGATAAACTGGGATGCAAGAATATATATAATACGTGTTGTAAAGAGAGGAAATTGCATATTGGAATACGTACTACTGACTTGAGAAGAGTTGCTATTCAACTTCAGTCCCAGATTCGTAAAGACCTTCATTGGGTTAACAACTGTTTAACGTTCATTGTAGAGACTTTTGATTGTAAAATTGCTGTCTTCTTCAAACTTCACAATTTATTTGAACTATTAATTTTCAATCGACAGGAGAGAAAAAAAAATTGTTGGCACTATGATTCGTAAGTGTTGTTTTTTTTGTTAATTAACTTTTAATTTCTATCCTTTATTTTTACTTAATTAATCCTTAGTTTTTATTAATTTTTCTAATTTTATTAATATTTTACTTTGAATATTTTCTTTTATTTTTCAATTATTCGCAAGTGTTCTTTTTTATTAATTAACTTTTAATTTCTATCCTTTTTTACTAGATTATTTCTAATTTTAGTAATTTTACTAATTTTACTATGAATTTTTCCTTTTATTTTTCAATTATTCGCAAGTGTTGTTTCATATTAATTAGCATTCAATTTTTATCATTAATTTAATTACTAGCGAATGTTAATGAAATTCTTTTGAGAAATTCAATTAATTGCAAAAAAATTGTAATAAAATTTCTTGAAGGAAATAAATTATTTTATTATTTTAATTTTTTAATAATTTCAGATTTAAAATAAAAAAGATTCACTTATTATTTCCTTGGAAAAATTCAATTATTTTTCAAAATTTGTAATAATATTCTTCGAAGGAGTTCAATTATTTTCAAAAATTTTGATAAAATTCTTTATAAATTTGAAAAATTATAATAAAATTCATGAATAGAATTCAATTATTTTCGTAAAAAAATTCTTCTCAAGAATTCAATTATTTTCAAAATTTTTAGTAAAAATCTTTAAAAGAATTAAATTATTTTCGTAAAAATTAAAATTCTTCTTAGGAATTCATTTATTTTTAAAATTTTCGAAAAAATTCAATTATTTTCAAAATTTTCCAAAAAAATCAATTATTTTCATAAATAATAAAATTCTTTCTAAGAATTCAATTATTTTAAATTCAAATTTAATAAAATTCCTGGAATAATTTAAATTTTAATAAAAATTTTCTTTGGAATTCAATTATTGTCGATAATTTTATTAAAATTCTTAAAGCAAATCAATTATTTTAGTAAAATATAAAATTTTTCTTAAGAATTCAATTATTTAAGAAATTTTGATAAAATTCTTCCCAAGAATTCAATTATTTTAAAAAATAATATTTTTTGCAGGAATTCAATTATTTAAGAAATTTTAATAAAATTCTCCCCAAGAATTCAATTATTTTCGAAAATAGAATTTTCCACATGAATTCAATTATTTAAAGCAAAATTTTAGTAAAATTCTTCGTCAGATTTCAATTATTTTCAACTTTTTAATAAAATTTCTCAAAGAAATTTAAGTATTTTAAAAATGTTTTAAAAAATTCTAAGAAATTCAATTATTTAAACAAATTTGAATACAATTCTTCATAAGAAATCAATTATTTTCATAAATAATAAAATTTTTCTTTGGAATTCAATTATTTTCAGAAATAAAATTCTTCACTGGAATTCAATTCTTAAAAAAAATTTTTATTAAAATTCTTTGTGAGAATTCAATTATTTTCATAAATAAAAAACCTTACGGCAAAATTGTAATTATTTTTTTATACAATTTTAAATAAAATGATAGAAGAAAATTGCACTTATTCTTAAATTTTTTTTGAAAATTCGCCGGAAGAATGGAATTATTTTTAAAAATTTCGATTTTTTTTTATAAAAAGTGAATTTTAAGAAATATTCAATTATTTAATAAATTATTTATTTCTGTTTCTAAATAATTGAATTTTCAAAGAATTTTCTAAAAAAAATTGATTTAAAAATGAATTTTAGATAAATTGTTAGATAATAATTGAATATTAAAAGCATTATAATATTCTTGGAAGGAATTCAATTATTTTTAAAAATTTTGATAAAATCCTTTATAAATTTGAAAAATTCTGATAAAATTTTTCGATAGAATTCAATTATTTTTGTAAAAAATAAAATTTTTCCTAGAAATTCAATTAATGTCAAAATTTATGCAAAACTTTCAAAACAATTCAATTATTTTCAAAATTTTTAGTAAAAATCTTTGAAAGAATTTAATTATTTTCGTAAAAAATAAAATTCTTCTTAAGAATTCAATTATTTTCATAATTTTTAAAAAAGATTAATTATTTTCAAAATTTAAAAAAAAATTTAATTATTTTCAAAATTTTCGAAAAAATTCAATTATTTTTAAAATTCTTCTGAGGAATTCAATTATTTTCAAAATTTTTTAAATAAAATTCAATTATTTTTATAAATAATAAAATCCTTTTTAAGAAATCAATTATTATTTTATAAAACTTTCATTAAAGTTCTTCCAATGAATTAATTTATTTTCAACAATTTTGATAAAATTGCTTATAACAATTTAATTATTTTCAATTTTAATTAAATTCCTTAAAAGAATTGAGTTATTATTAAAAATTTTATTAAAATTTCTCCGAACAATTGAATTAATTTCAAAAAATTTAATAAAATTCTGTGTAATTTTTTATTTTGAAAATTATGATTTTTGATAAAAAAAATATATTTATTTAATTGTTTTTATTTAATCTTGGAAACATAAAATTAGAGTTTTGTTAATTTTAAAAGTTAAATCATTTAGAAAGAGACATGATAAAAAAAATTAAGGAACAAAAAAAGACAAAGGAAAACAATAAATTCAAACTATGAACAAATTAGATACAGGAATATAATGATTTTTATTATTTTTACTAATTTAACTAAGAATTTTTCCTTTATTCGCAAATATTCATTTTTATTAAATATCTTTTATTGTTTATTCTTTATATTTACTTTTTTTTTACTATGAATTCTTCGCTAATTTTTCTGCTCGTAAATATATCTGGTTTTAAATGATTTTTTATTTGTCCAAAAAAAATTAGTAAAAATTAGCAAATTTATTTAATTATTAAAGTTATTAAAATTAGTAAATTTATGTAATCTATAAATTTATAAATAAATAATAAAATTATTGTCAAATTCCAGGCCTGGGATTTTGTCTCGTCGCCATAGCAGCGCTCATTCTTCAAGGAGAATCAGACGACTCGAAAAATTTCAATCAAGAAAAAGATTGGAAGACAGCCACCTCCGTCTATGACTTTCATGCAAAGGATATCGACGGAAATGACGTTTCCCTATCGAAATATAAGGATTCCGTTCTCATTGTTGTCAACGTTGCGACAAATTGCACATTGACTGACGCCAATTACGAGCAATTGCAAAAACTCTATCAAACTTATGGCGACGCGAAGGGATTGAAAATTCTTGCCTTCCCTTGTAATCAATTCGCCGGACAGGAGCCAGGAACACCGCAGGAAATTAAGAAATTCGTCAAGGATCGATTCAATGTCACTTTCGATATGTTCGACAAAATTGAAGTCAATCAAGAGAATGCACATCCCCTTTGGAAATGGATGAAGTCACAGCCAAAAGGCGCCGGCACCAATGGAACACAAGATATTGAATGGAATTTCACGAAATTTGTCATTAATAAGAGTGGACAAGTTGTCACTAGATTTGCACCTCGTGTCGAACCAAATCAAATGAAAGAGACACTCGAGAAACTTTTCGACGAAAAGGTCTAAGAGTGGAATTGATTTTTCGTTAATTTTCGTTTTCTTTCACATTTGTATAAAAGTAGACATTTTTTAGAGTTTTTGTTATAGATTCACCATGTCCTTGAATTTTAGCGTCGAAAACTATTATTTGAGATTTTTACTTAAGAAAATGTTAATAATTGTAACAAAGGTTCAAGAAGTTAGAAATTCTAATATTCATTAAATTCTAATACTTCTTTCATTCACTTATTAAGTTAACATTTTTTTCAGGACACTTTTTCAATTATGCAATAATCTTTAAAAAAAATGTTAAATTCTTTTTCCTTTTGTGGAAAAAATAGTTTTCGACGCAAAATTCAGGGAATTTGAAAATAATTTTAATTTTTAAATTTGAAATTATTTTTTAAGTTTCTTCATACAGTTAATTTTTCATCTTAGTTAATTTTTTTTTAAAAGAAATATTCACTTTTATGAAAAAAAATTCCCAATAGGAATTTGTAAATATATACGACTTTTTAAGTTTTTAATTTTAATTTTAATTTTAATTTTATTTTTTATTTTAATTTTAATGTTTTCATTTCTACCACGAAAATAAAAATTTTATTAAATTGTAAGATTTACTGATTTATTCGATAATAAAAGAAACAAAAAATTGCTTGCAAGTAAATACGCATTATTATTGTTGTTTGAATGTTATAATTTTTCCATTTTTTAATTTTTTCATATCACAAATTCCTGTTTTTATTGCCATTTTTGTTCGTAATTATTCATTAACCTTCGCATTCAGGTTTATCTACTTTTTTTTTCACGCGACGAATTTAATGATTCTAAATACAAAAAAGGATTTACATTCATTATTTTTTTTTCTCTCTCCAATACCTACTTCCTTGCGGAATATAATTTTTGTATGAATTTATTTTGTACGAGTATTTTTGTTTGAATATTTCTTTTTCATGAATATTTTTATAATCATTTTTGATTTATAAATAAATTTATGAATATTTCTTACTGTAATTTTGTTCTGAATTTAAATTAATTTAAAAATTTCAATAATTTTGTTAATTATTTTTTCCTACTGAAATTAATATTTAAAAATTTTTATTTCAAGTCTTCTGAAATTCAATTATTCTCAAAAGTTACAACTGTAATAATTTATCTAAAATTCAATTATTTTCCAGAATTTTCAATTAAAAAATTTATCTCTAAATCAATTATTTTTAATAATTTTTGGAATTTCTTTCGAAAATTCAATTATTTACATGAAAAAATTCTATTCTTTACAAGAATTTAAATAAATTTAAAGTAAATTGTTGAAAATAATTAAAAATATTCAAAATCTTAAATAAATAAATAAAATAATGAGTTTTTAAAAGAATTGTATTAAAAACATTTTTAAAATCAGTTTCTAAAATTTAGTATCAAAATTTAATTGAAAATACTAAAAGTAATTGGATTTTCGGAAACATGTATGTAATTGAAAATAATTGAATTTTCAGAAATATGTAATTGAAAATAATAAAAATAATTGAATTTTCAAATAGTAAAGATTTTTCATTAAAATGTTAATAAAATATTTATATTTGAAGATTTTTCACAAGAATTTAAAAAAATTCAATTATTTATAAAATTTGCAATTAAATTCTTAAAAAAATTACAAAAAAAAAAAATTTTTTCTTCAAATTTTTAAAAATTTGAATTTAAATACTTGAAGAAAATGAATTATTTATTAATATAATTTTTCAAAACTTTCAATTATTCGAATTTGTAATAAAAAATCTCCTAAAATTTTATTATTTGATGTTTAATAACTTTTTCTAGTAGGTATAAGAAATATTTATTTTTGGAAAAAATACAAATTAAAAAAATCAAAAAAATATCGTCGTTCATTTTTCTAAAAAGTTATTAATGTCGATTGTTGAAATTAACGGAAAGTATTCAAAATATTTTTCGAATATTTTCCATTGCGTTTTTCTCCTAAATATGAATTAATTTTTTTTATAGAAATTATAAAAATTATAAAAATATATTATAGAAATTATATTATATAATTTTTCTACAAATTATATATTTTTATTTATTATAAGTAAATTTGAAATAAGTGAATAAGTAATGTTTCTTATATCTAGTTTTTATTAGATTCTTAAAAACTAAATACAAATCTAAGAGCTGTACAAAAATTTGATCAGGCGATATTGATATGAACCTCCTTAATCACTAAAATATAATATGTATAAAATATTCGTTAATATTCAATAACATCTGCATAAAATACAATATAAAAAAAAAGTTGTAAGTATACAATAAAAATTGAAGGCACAACCAATTTTCCAAAAAAAGTAAAAAGAATTATAAAAAAAATATTTTTTAGCAATTTCTTGTCGATTTTCTGAGTATTTTTTTCTTTTAAACACAAAACTATTAGTTTCTACTCTTATTTTTTTTGCTTATTGTAATATAAAGTTTGCTTATAAAACTATAGAAATTTGCTTACATATTTTACTTTATATTCGTATTTCTTCAATATAATATGAAATTTAGCTTATTTCGTATAATTTTTCTTACACATAAAAGTAACAATACAGAAAAGTATTGTTTTACTTAATTATAATTCTTTCTTTTTTAATAATAGAACGAATACTTTTTTTCATATCTAAATATGTTTCATGTAAACTTAAATATTGCAAGATGGATTCTATTTACAAACTTTCATACAACACACTTTTCAGCTCGCTTTTCAGACTTAGATTCAAATACGTTTTGTGATCTTTGATTTTTCAAGTGCATTTTACATTTTTACTGGTATTTGAATATCTGAATTATCATTTCGATGGGTCATTTAATTAGCATCGAATTTCAAATATATATATATATAGATTTTTTTTTCATCTCATGTGATGAATTTGTGGACGGAGTTATAATTATAAAATAACTAATAGACTTGAGGCAATAAGTTAGGCGATTTATGCGCTTTCCTTGGCATTGGCACTTGAGTTCATGGTGGACATTTCATGTTCTGCTGGTTTATTGTTCCGCCCGTTGCTTACTGTTACTGTGTCCTCACAAGTCTTGAATAAAAAAATGCAAATTAATTTTTTTTCAGTCTTTCTATAGTCATCAATATTTTTATGCTTCTAATTACATTTTTTTTTGCGAGTACAGAACGAGTATAACGAAGGGGAAGAAAAGAAAACAATACGAAAGAGACATACAACTGAGTTTAGGGAAAAAAGAACTAGAAAGTTTTCAAAACAGAATTAAAAGCAGAATAGACAACAAGGTGCGAATAATAATAATAATTTAAGTGGAAAGAAGAAAAAAGCTATAAATTACCCATAGTTTCTTGTTGCAATTCTACCTTGTAGGAAGGGTTGTCATAGGCCGAAGTTGTTTTTCGAGGGGAAATATCGGCTTTGCTGCTGGTCCTCCTCTTCATCAGCATCATCAACAGAATTAGAGTTGACAAAACAGCCAGGGAGGCGACAATCGCCACTATCACCAAAGGCCCGTAATAATCTCCTTCGTGAAGAGGAATCGAAGCCAATTTTCCTAAAAATACGACAAATAAATTAAATGATAATTCAAAAATAAAAATAAATATATTAATAATAATTAAAACCGAATCGAAGCCAATTTTCCTGAAAATACGACAAAGGTATTAAATGATAACTAAAATATAAAATTAATTAAATAATAATTAAAACCAAAATAAAACAAAAAGAGTAAAATTAATCAAATAATAATTAAAACCAAACTAAAACAAAAAGAATAAAATTGAAATACTAAATAAATTTTTGTAAATTTTATAGTTTTATAATTTGGTAAATTACCAGAAACTCCTGAGGGAAGAGGAACGCCAGCTTTCGTCACGAAATCTTGAACGTTGCTCTTTTTGATTTTTCCATTCGTCAAGTAGACTTCGATCCAAAGACGATATCTTGTTCCAGGTTTAAGATCGTTGACAATTGTTTTTGCTGGCGAGTCTCTTTTGGCAATTTTAAATACACTCGTGTCTTCCTTGCCACTGTCACTCTGATAAATCGCCCTGTAAATATTCACGTACTTGTCTTCAGGATATGGAACTCCATTCCAAGAGACCTCCACGTCTCTAGATTTGACATTGTTGATTTCGACTCTAATATTGAAAGCATATGGATCTGGCTCTTGATAAGTTGTGAAGTGAATCTGCAAAAAATTTTCACATTGTTTTTATGCTTCTTTATATGTATAAACGTTAGTTTATAAAAAGTTTCACTATTTTTGTAATTGTTAACACGAGGAGAAGTAGTAGTTTGTAAATATTTTTGTTCGATAAGGCAGTTACCATGGGAGTCGACAGTGGCGCCATCTGTCGGTAAAGTAAAATATCAGTTTTGTGAGAGTCGCGAGTGAATCCCCGAGTTTAGTTCATTCGGTTCATTCAGTGTTTAGCCGCGTTTAGCACAATTAGTAATTCTCTATCTGTTGCATCCGGGGAAAAAAGTTACATACTAATTGCAATTATCGCGTTTATCCCCTCATTTCTTTCCGCGAATTGATAAATTTTAGTATTTAGTCGCTTAATTATCGGAACTTTCGCTGTTCCAACAATGCAGTAAACTAACCTAACCTAAACATTGTCGAAAGTGTTCGGAGACTAAAACGTTCTTGTATTGTCAGTTTAGTATTTTTTAAACAATATTTTCTCATAATATAATGAAATTTTACACGGCGAGAAGTAAATATTTCCTTTTTGATATAAAAAAGTAGTAAAAAAATATCACGCGGCAACAGTGGCGCCATCTGTCGGTAAAGTAGCGAACTAACTATTAGTTCAGTAAGAGTGAATTCCGCCGGAGCCTCAGTTCAGTGCTTAGTCGCATCGTGATCGTATCGGTTCGTGAAAAAATTGACAAATCGCAAGCATCGTCGCGTTTATTCACCTAATTCTTCCCGTGTATTGCTAAATATCAATTAGTTTTTCAGTTTTTTGGACTTTTTTTCCCTTTTACGCGTCTCGTTGTCCCAACAATGGAGTAGACTAACCTAATCTATACATCATTGTCGAAAGTGCTCGGAGCGCTCGAAGACGTTCTTATATTGTCATTTTAGTACTTTTTGAACAATATTTTCTCCTAATATAATGAAATTTTACACGGCGAGAAATAAATATTTCCTTTTTGATATAAAAAAGTAGTAAAAAATATCACGCGGCAACAGTGGCGCCATCTGTCGGTAAAGTAGCGAACTAACTATTAGTTCAGTAAGAGTGAATCCCGCCATCCCGGAGTCTCAGTTCAGTGCTTAGTCGCATCGTGATCGTATCGGTTCCTGAAAAAATTGACAAATCGCAAGCATCGTCGCGTTTATTCACCTAATTCTTCCCGTGTATTGCTAAATATCAGTTAGTTTTTCAGTTTTTCGGACATTTTCCTCATGCGCGTTTCGAAGTTCCAACAATGGACTAACCCGACTAACCTAACCTAGATATCATTGTCGAAAGTGCTCGGAGCGCTCGAATACGTTCTTATATTGACAATTTAATATTCTTTCAAAAATATTTTATCCTATAATAAAATTGTGCACGGGGAGCAGCAGTTCAGTAAATAGAGAAGCAGTAAAGAAAATATTGGTGATTACGGCGATTACTATCGGAGTCGAGAGTGGCGCCATCCGTCGGTGCAGTAGCGAACGAACTAGCAGTTTAGTAAGCAGTGAATCCCCGAGTTCAGTGTTTAGCTGTTTAGCATCGTGAGCATCGTTATCCGTTCTTTCCGCAAAAATCGTCGGTGAAATAATCGCGTTTTATCCATATTTCTTTCGGGTATTGCTAAATATTAGTTCTGGGACTTTATTTTGATCATGCGCGTTACGGTCTTCGCGCTGCTCATAATGGACTAATCTAACCTGTACATTAGTGTGTAAAATGTACTCGGAGTGAAAAGACAAGAAGTGTAATCGAAATTAATAGAGAAGAACAAAGAAAAAAAGTAAACAATTTAACGAATAGATAATAGATTCTTGCGGTAGTGTTCGAATTATTTCTTTACAATAATGCAAAGATTGTTGGCTCCCTTTTGTCGGATACTGCGAAATAATGGAAACTCGAGTTTCTCGTCTTTCTCGTCTCTGAACATTTTCTTATTTTTTTCGTCGGAATCGTCATCGGGAGTGCGCGAATTTTTCCAATCGTGTTCGTTTAGGTAATAATTAATTCGGAAAAATATCATTTAATACGGGAGTGCTCGCCTTTTTCCAAGTCGCGTTCGATTAATAAGAATTGAAAATAAATTCGTAAAAATAATTTTTAAAAAAAGTGTATAATTTCGGGAGTGTTTGTACTTTTCGCAAAGTAGTGTTTGAGTGTTTGTGAACTTTTTTCAACGTCAGAATGGATTAACTCGAACAAAAGGAAATTGCAGACAATCGTAAGAATTCTCCTTCGTTAAAGGTAAAGTCCTGTCTCAGAAGTATTCGAAATTTTTTAAATTTTACTTAAATATTTTTTTTATAATTAATATTGTTCGTCACAGAAAATTCAATTATTTTTAAATTTTTTAAATAAATTTATAGAAAGAATTGAATTATTTTCAATTCAATTTTAATGAAATTCTTCCACGAAATCAATTATTTTCAATTTCTTTTTTTAATAAAATTTTTCAAAAGAATAAAATTATTTTTAATAAAATTGTAATGAAATTCGTTCAAAAATTCAATTTTTCAATCAAATTTCTTTATAAAGAATTTAATTATTTTGAATGTAGTAGTTTTATTAAAGTTCTTGGCACGAATTAAATTATTTTTAAAAATAATAAAATACTTTGGATAAATTCAATTACTTTGAATATAATTTTAATAAAATTCTTTGTAGAAATTCAATTATTTTTAAAAAATAAAATAGTTCGTCACAGAATTTCAATTATTTTCAAATTTTTTAATAAAATTTCTAGAAAGAATTGAATTATTTTTTAATGAAATCATAATGCAATTATTCAAAGAATTCAATTATTTTCAATTTTTTAAAAATAAAATTTCTTGAAAAAATTAAATTATTGCGAAAAAAAATTGTAATGATATTCGTTCAAAAATTCAATTAATTTTAATTTTTCAATTTACTTTTTATTAAAGTTCTTGGCTCGAATTCAATTATTTTTTAACAAATAATAATATATTTCACAAGAATTCAATTATTTTCATAAATTATAAAATACTTTAGGTAAATTCAATTATTATGAATATAATTTTAAATTTTTAATATAATTCTCGGCAGAAATGCAATTATTTTTAAAAATAATAAAATATTTCACAAAATTAAATTATTTTCATAAATAATAAAATACTTTAGATAAATTCAATTACTTTGAATATAATTTTAATAAAATTCGTTGCAGAAATTCAATTATTTTTATAATTAATATTGTTCGTCACAGAATTTCAATTATTTTCTAAAAATAAAATGACTTGAAAAAATTAATTATTTTCAAAAAAAAAAAAAAATTATAATGACATTAGTTCAAAAAATCAATTAATTTCAATTTTTTAATCAAATTTCTTTAAAAAATAAATGGAATTATTTTCAATTTAGTTTTATTAAAGTTCTTGGCACGAATTCAATTATTTTTTATAAATTATAAAACACTTTAGATAAATTCAATTACTTTGAATATAATTATTTTAATAAAATTCTTGGCAGAAATTCAATTATTTTTAAAAATAATAAAATTTTCAGAGGAATTTAATTATTTGAAACTACAATTTTCATAAAATTTTTCGTTTCTAAAAATTCAGACTATTTTTTCCCTATTCTGTATGTCTAAACGAACAATTAATTTTTAAATTATTTTGAAATTTTGCGTGGTTTTCATATAGTTTTTTGGCTTCGAAGTTTTACAAAAATGGCCTATTTCTCAGTTTTGGGCCGTTTTTTGGAAAAATTTGAAAATTCTGGGTCTTTCCGACGAAGCAAACTATGTTTTTCTTATTTTGTATCTCTGAATTTAATTATAAAATTTAGCGAGTAAAGATTTTTGGCTTTGAATTTTGACAAAAATGGCCTATTTTATTTTTTCGGGCCTTTTTTTTGGAAAAAGATTAAAATTGGGGGTATTTCCGACGAACCAAACTATGTTTTTCCTATTTTGTATCTCTAAATGAATAATTCATTAATACAGTATTTTTAAATTAAACGTGGTTTTTTATTTCGTATTTTGGTTCTGAAGTTTATCAAAAATGGCCCATTTTACAGTTTTGGGCCGTTTTTTGGAAAAATATGAAAATTGTGGGCGTTTCCGACGAAGTAAACTATGTTTTTCCTATTCTGTATTTCTAAACGAAAAATTCATTTATCATTTATACATTATTTTGAAATTTAGCGTGGTCTTTATGTAGTTTTTTGCCTTTGAATTTCGACAAAAATGGCCCTTTTCACAATTTTGGCCCGTTTTTTTTTTTTTTTTTTGAAAAAATTGAAAATTGTGGGCATTTCCGTAAATGATAATTATTTTTTTCCGTTTTTTCCATTCTTCATCACTAAATAAATAATGAATTGAATTATTTGTGGTGGATAAACAATTTTGAAAAATAAAAGTACTGACCTTCTTGTCACTAATCAATTCAGTCGTCTGCCCAGGGAATGGTATAAATATAATCTGCACCTCATAATTCGTTGATGGTTTTAAATTTTCAATCTCGAAATTAGTGACTTTTCGATGAATCATTGGTGTGGTGATGTAAATTTTACTATCTGGCTCTTTATATCTCAATTGAATTCCGTCAATAAATTGAAGTTCGTAATCAGAGAGAATCTTCCAGTTCACATTAGCCCAAGTGGAATTAATTTCTTGAATCCTAAGCTCGGCATCGATGGGTATCTGTGGCGGTAGTGTCGAAACTTCTGGAAGTTTGTCCAGTGTCCTGACACTATAAATTTTACTCATTGGCGTATTGCTTAGCTTGTGGAGTTTGACTATGATCTTGACTTTGTAATCAGTCGATGGTTTCAAATCACCCAATTCGAATTCCAACTGCTGAGTGGCTATCAGATCGTCTGGTGGCGCGAACTCTTGTGACTTCCACGTTGCTGGCTCAAAGTTTCTGTTTAAATGGTATTAGAGATTTTTTTATTGTTTTTTAAAGTTATTTTTTGATTTGTTTTGGAGTTTGATGAAGGATATCAAATTGAGACAAAAAAAGGATCAAAATTGTTGCGAGGCAACAATTTTGATACTTTTTTTGTCTCAATTTGATACAGTAAAAAGTTTGGGTGGTTTTCCTGATGTTTCTTGTGATTCTACTAATTAGTACGGAAAAGTATTTTTACTGCACAGATTTCTTGAAAGTATCAAATTGATACCAAAGTGGATCATATTGGTACCGAAAATTTGGATCAATTTTAGATTTGATCCACTTTTTTGGTATCGATTCGTCAATAGTAAAACCAAATATTATCCAAAGACTATTTTTGAGACCCGAAAGGGAAGAATTGATAATGTTGTAAAATTCAGTGATACTATTCTAATTAACATAATTATAAATTATAATTTTTCGTTTTAAAACTTTTGTCCTTACGTCTTGTCGCTGGTGTAACGTAGTTCGACTCTTCCGTGAAGTCCCACGAGAACTGCGGGTACAGTAAAAACTAGGCGGACTGTGTGCTCGTCTAAAGCTTCTAGGGCTTGAACGCTGACTTCATCTTGTTGACCACCTGGACCAGAGAAACCTGGCGGTGCTCCAGATATTGGAAAGACTTGATGTAGTCCATGTTCGGGTCCTGTTTGTTAATTATTATTATTTTACTTTAAATTTAATTTTTAAATTATTATAATAATAATTGTAGCGTTAATTTTTTGAATCTTGTTTAACCGATCTTCAAATTTTAATTATATGTAAAAAAAAAATAATTTATAATTAGCCAATGAGATGATAATTAATTTATTAACTTATTAAAGACTTAGAAACGTTAGGAGTGAAGAAATTTGGATATTAAATTTTTTCTTTTCGTAAAATCAGGCCTCGGATCAACTTTAAGGCGCAAAAGTGAATTCTGAGATTAAATTATTCGATAACTTCAAATTATTTAGTTAAATAAATATTTAAATACTTGTTATTTATTTTTCCAAACAAGGAAAATTAATATTTTAAAATTTCAATTTCAAGTCTTCTAAAATTTAATTATTTTCAAAAATCACGACTATAATCCCCCCGAACTTCAATTATTTTCAAAAATTACGACTGCATTCCACTCGAAATTCAATTATTTTCCAGAATTTTCAATTAAAAATTTTGTACAAATCAATTATTTTGAATAATTTTCAAAAAGTTATTTGAAAATTCAATTATTTAATTAAAATAATTTAACTTTTAAAAACATTGATTCTAACTCTTGACGGTTTCTGTTTATTAAGGTGAATTTTTGAAAATAAAAAAAAGTATTTTAAATAATTTATATTTATTTAAAAAAATTGGTAAAATTAGTTTTTTTTATAAAATTTTGTAAATATTTTTTCAAAGGAAATAGAGTTTTTTATTTATTTGTATTTATTTGTTTTTAAATATTTTAATTTATTATTTTGAAGCTAATTTTTATTTAAAGATTAAACTTTTTAAAAAAGTTTTCAAAAACACTTATTTTCATTTTCTATTTTGAAGATTTTTCATAAAAATTTATCAAAAATTCAATTATTTCCAAAATTTACAATTGAAAATCTTCAAAATTTAATTTTAAAAAATCTGATTTTAAATACTGGAAAAAAATGAATTATTTTTAATAAAATTTTACAAAATTTCAATTATTTGAAAATTTGTAATTATAAATTTCAAAAATTAATAAAAATAAAAAAATATCTTCGTTTATTTTAAAGTTTGAAACTTTAGGAATAAAAAATTTGGACTATAGTTATTTGTCACTATAAAAATCGAAATCGATTATATTTTATACCAAAAAAGTGGTATGTCCTGCAATATTTGAAAAAAAAAGTCGAAAAGTCGAAATTTTTTAAAGAGTCGAAAAAATGTCGTTTTTTGAAAATAGTTGAAAATTCATCCAGAGTCCAAAAAGTCTATTCGAGGCCTTGTAAAATTTATAAAATTCGAGTCTTGAACGAAATAATTTTTCTTCTTTAATAATCTTAATTTTGAGAGAAGAAAAATTGAATTTTCTTATTCAAAGAAAATGTTGCTATTACGAAGAATTTTATTCTAGTTCGCGAGTAGGTCCTTAAAGTTAGCGTCGACACTGAGAGCCGAAAAAAATTTCTTTCACGTAACCAAACAATTTTTTCAAAGATTTTACATTTAAAAAACACTTTGACAAAGTTTTTAAATCCCCAGGTGAATGAGGAGGTGGATTTAGTACCATTTTTGTCTCTAAAAGCTTGGAAATAATAGTTTTCGTCGCTGAGACTCGACGCTAACTTCAGGGACATTTGGCTTTTTTGATTTTGAAATCAGGGACGAACCTGACTGGTTTGGTGTTTGTGCGGCAAACGGATGGTTCAAGTGCGTGAGTCCAGACTGTGGAATATGTTCGTCGGGATGAATTGGCAGGGAAGGTGGTGTGTGTCCGGCAATGCCCTGTTGACCTGGATAATGTTGGAAAGGACCGAGATTAGGATTTTGGGAGATGTGGGACAGTAATAATTCTTCGATTTGTTGGGGTGAATTGGGAATCTCTGATGTGTGAATGTGATAAGTTGTCTCGCCATTTTCGTTCTTTTGAGTGAAGATCTGGGGTTTGGCGCCTTTCTTCGGCGGTAGGGGATCATTATTGCCGAAGTAGGGAGGAATTTGATTGACTGGATTCTTTTGGCCTACGATTTTTTGATGGAGATCGTAGAGACCTTGGTGACCTGTGGGAGGACCGTGCTCTAGGTGAATCAAACCGGGGTGTTGGGAGAGAGAGTGAATGAAGGGATGATACTGATCGTCGTCGGGAATGTTCGGATTCTTTTGATTCGGTTTGCCTCCTGAAGGTTTGACCTTTACGTCATTGAATGAGTCTTTCTTCTTGGGGGGCACAAGGTTGGGATCGTGTTCGACTTTTCCGGGTCCACGGTAAGGGGGACCTGCGGCGGGGTTTTCGAATTGGGAGTTAAAGTGGTCGGGTGGGATGTTCTCGCCGTTGGTGGGACTGAAGTCGAATACGGGGCCGGAGTGATCGTGGTTGTCGAGGGGGATGAATTGGGGTTCTTCGGAGTGTTCTTCTTTGGGGCGTTTGGGATTGGGAGCGAAGGGGCCGAGGAATTGCTCGACAGTTTCCTTGTGGGGTTTCACGGGATCGACCGGTTTCTTGGAGTCTGATTTGGCTTTGGATTTTTCCTTGAGAGGTGGTGCGGTTTTTTCGGCGTGGGGGAAGAGATCAAAGAGTTCCTCGACACTGGGATCGGTTGGTTTGTAGTCCGGATTGTAGGGACCATTGTAAGGAATTGTAGGATGGCCGGGATCCATTGGATAGTGGAAGATTTCGTGATCGGTTTTTGTGGTTTGGGTTTTTTTGGGTGATTGCCAGGGGTAGACGCCGCGCTCTGGTTCCTGGTTGGGCCTGGACATTTCCGACTTTTCGTTTGGTTTTTTGGTATCGTCAAGCTTGGGTCGACTGTTCGCGTCTGGGGTTAAAGAGCCGAGAATCGCGGACGTTGTGTTCTCTCCTGCAAGAATGAAAGTCGAGAGTCAGAGAGAGAAAGATAGTCATTTTTTTTATCAGAGATCGTTCCCAAGTTGTCTAAAATCCATGCATATTTTCCAACATCCGACAATATGTACAAGCCTACAATAGTTGTACCGGATTGAAGCATGCAGCCATCTCGAGAGGGAACTACTTGTGGGGTTTTTTCAACAGTTGCACAACCATTCGGGATAAATTCTCCTTCCGGTCTTCATACAAGGACAGATCCAGTCAGGTCCGCACTCCAGATCAAAGCATTCACAAAGCGGGTTTTTTTTTCTGTTGCACTAGAAATACCTTCACCGGTTAATTGTACAGATGCTCAGTGTTATTTATACCAAGGGGTTTTGGGAGATGGAGATAAAATAACCTTTTTTTCATGCAGTAGTTCTACTATTAGCTAGATCATAGGTGAGTGAATCGGACATGTGAAAATCGTGCTGGAATATAGGTTTTCTCAAAAAATACCTGAAGTTATTGATGTGTTATTGCAAGTCCACTCCTTGCAGCAATCGTCTCCTGGCAAGAAGGTCAATGCGGCCATAAACGGTGGACATGGTAAATTAGTTGGTGGCAGAGCAGACACTGGAGGACAGGCAGGCGAACAAGTAACGTTGCCTATTTCGCAGAAACATCTTTTTTCACAGCCTGTTATATTTGATGGAAGCTCTCTAAAATTATCGTACGTTTGCCCTTCGTAGTTACAGGAACCATTGCTTCTGCATCTCACTTCCTGTAAAGTTAATTTCTCCTTAAATTCTTGTTCATTATTTGTAAAAACGAAATCTTCATTTCATTATCAAATCTTGATAATATGACCATTTTATTATTCATTATTGATTTCATCATCAAAGTTTGTTATTATTTTTTGTTTGATATAAGTTTGGTAATAGGTGATAAGTTTGTTATTGCTACGTACCTGAGCACAACAATGAGGAGGTTTAGCTTCAAAATCAGGAGGAACGGTCTCCCAGTCTAAACAATTTGGATCTAGAGCGTCTAGGCCAAAATCAGTGGGACACTGAATTGTTGAGCATTCAGCCATTGCACTCTCATTACAGAAACATAAAGAGATGCACTCGTCATACCACTCTTCGCCAATCTTGTAAGTCTTTCCTCTATGGTTGCAAGACTTTTTGTCACCTTTTTCCGAGACATTGGTCTTGATCACTTCTGCTAATAAGGAGACGTGGAGAGCTTGACCCACTCGTCCGTTTTCATATACTCGGAGATAGTAGCTGTGAGCTGGTTCCAATCCAGATACAATTCCCTCTGGAATAAAACCGATATTAGCCTATTACCCAGAGGCGTTTATTTTTGTCATCAATTTAGACCCATTTTTCTAAATTACCGCAAATGGTTCTAAAAAACTAATTTAAATGTTCTAAAAAGCTAATCTTAGTGTTCTAAAAAGCCTTAAATGTATAAAGCAATAACTGAAGTGGTATTAAATTTACCTTTGTCGGGTTTCACTTGTCTCCAAACGTGATTGTTTTCCGAGAGTTCAATCGTCACATTGTCGGGATTTTTTGCCGACATTACAAGTTTAATAGCAGTCGAATTGAGGACTTTCACGTCTGTCAAATTGGTTGAGAGTTCTGCTGGATTTTCGGATTTTAGTTCATGTTCTCCGAGTGTCACATCACAGAGAGTGATGGTACAGCATTGATCACTGGAATTGGAATTCAAAGAGAATCGTTAGGTTGTCGAAGTAAAAACTTGTCCGAAGTAAAAACCTGGTAACCGCATTTTCCGTTAGGTCAAAGTTCACTTAAATGCGGCTACTGGTTTTTTACTTTGAACAACAGATTTGTAAAAGTATTGAAACAAACGAATCTTTATTTTGTTCCAAGCGAACCATAAGGGCATGAAAAAACATTGAAGCAGAGAATTATGGAGATAAGAAAGTGAAACTGAATATGAAGAAAGAATCGGGATTATTTTTGCAAGAGTAATAAACTATTGATGATATCTTCTGTATGTAATTACTGATTACCTTGGATCCGTTAAGGCCACACAGCGATCGTGCTGAGTTACGCCGGAAGTTGTGTCGTTCGGTGGACATCTAGGTTGACACTTGAGCGATCCTCCTGTCTCGCAGACACAAATTTTTGTGCATCCATCTTCGACTCTTTGACCTCGGGTCAGAGTTTTGTTGCCAAAAATGCAGGTTTCTTCTGGTTCTGTCGCTAAAACGGAAACTATGTGAATCTTTTCTGCAAAACTAATTCTAAATTCGGAACTATTTTTTGTGGATCTTTTCACACTTTTTGATGTCAAAAAAGTTGATTTATTTACCTGAATCTTCAGCACAGACCATAATTGCACAACAAGGTTGCTCCGGAATAATTTTTTCCTCGCAAAGAGGATCGTGAATTCCTTTACCAGCCCGAACGTAGGGATTTGCACACATTGGTTTACAGTCTGTAATTTTTCCGTCCTCCCCACAAACACACTTTTCATCGCAACCTCTTGTGACTTTTTCGCCTACTGCGAATGTTTTGTTGGCTTCCGTGCAAAAGGTGATTATTGGTATCAAAGTGGGGAAAATATTTATACTTGTGTCGTTCTCTGGAGCAATGTACTCGCCACCTGAAATCATGAAAGTAATCATAACTGTTTTTTCAAATAAAAATGGTATCTTAATAAATACAAAGAAAGCTCAAAATGCAACATTGTAGTTACATTTTCGGTTTTATCAAAAATATTCTTATTATATTTATTATTTTATAGTTTATTCATTTTTATATACAGAAATAATTATAATCTTTCTTTAAAAAACATAATCAGCATTTCTATCGAAATGCTGATTATGATTTTTAAAGAAAGATTATAATTATTCGACTGTACCTTCGACTTCTTTATCGTCAGCATCCATGCTAACATCACTGAGATCCGTTACGTTTGCATGTAAGGAATTTGTCGGCTCAGGAGCCGATATGTTGAGAGCTCTGGCTCTCGAAGAAGTTGTTTCCATCGTTGTTGAGATTTCCTCCTCTTTTGTGGTACTTTCGGACATTGAAATTTTCATCGTCGTTGTGGGAATTATTTCGGTACTTGAAACCGGTTGAACTAGGTCGAGTGTGGGCAGTAAATTTGGCACTCCTTGAACCAAAATAGGAATTGCCTCGGTTTTATTATTGCTTTCTATTAATTTTTCCATCGTCGTCGTCACCATTTCCTCTTCCTCGGTGGTTGTTGTTTCGAATGTTGTTTCAAAAATTGTTGTTGTTGTTTCGATTGATTCTGTTTGAGTTACTGGCTCTGTTACTGGCTCCTCCTTAACGGGCTTTGGATATTTCATCTCCACTTTTGGTTTAAAATCAAAAGCTTTCTTCTTGCTCTCCACCGATAGTTTTTCTCCTTCTTTGGTGGGATAGTCATTTTTAGTTTCAACCACCCTCGCAATGGTGTCGCCTCCGGATATTTGAACTGTTGGCAGGGGTTCTACTCCTGGAATGTTGTCATCGACTGAAATCAGAAATATTTTTTGTTATTTCTTGGTTATTTATTTATTCTAAAATAGCTGGAAATACCTAACAATTAATTAATTATTGAGTTAGGAAAGTATAAAATTTATTTATCCTAAAAGCTGTAAATACCTAACAACCTATTGGGTTAGGAACTTATGAAAGGATTTTGATTTTGGATCGTTTGAATTGTTTTTGATTTTGGAACAATTGTTCTGTTATTTGGAGTTTGGTTTTATTTTGGTTTGGAGTTATTTTTCGAACTACGGGACTTGATTTATTTGATTGAAAAGTGAAATTGAAATTTTCTTTGGAGCAACATTCTTGGAAAATAATCCTAAAAGTGAGTGAAACTTTAAGCTGGTTGGTTGTTTTCATTGAAACGAGTCAAGTCTCTAGAAAAATAAGATCTCCTTGAGAAAATGCATGTACACACCAAGAGGGAATCTTGTCTATGGCTCTTAGCGAAAGTTGACACTCGAAACGCAGGCGTGTTCTCGATTCATAAAAGAAACTGTCATTGAATAAGTTTAGAAAATCAATTAGGAAAGTTGAAATATCAGTTGATGTGAAAAAATTATTGTCGACAGATTTTGAAGAAACTTTTAGAAAATGTGAAAGTAAAGGAATATATATATATATATATACGTGAAATTAATTATAATAATTTTTGCACTTTTTAGAATTTTATTTTTTTTTCCTGAAAAGTACGATAATTTTTCTTTTTTTTATTGCCATGGACATCACTTTCTGTGACATAGTGCCATTGTGGGCCTTCATTTCATCATTTAAACCGGACGTTGTCATTATTATTATTTATCATTACGTTACGGTTCGTGTATTATTGCAATAGGTAAAAGTTTTCACCTCTGTCCTTCGACGATTTGTCAATTTTTTTTCTCTTTGTCGACTAATAATTTCTTTTACTTTTTTGATCCAAATTGAAATTGGGAAAATTTTGAAATTTTGATAGATACACAGGTTTCAGGTTTTGTACTCATCTGCCAAAAACTAGTATTTACTAATTTTTTTTTTTAGATTTGTGTCACTAAAAGCTATTATTTTTTATTTTTGAAAATTTGCAATACTTTAAATTCGCTAAAAGGTAAAATAAAAAAAATTATTCTCAAAAATTTAAATAAAATTCTTAGAAACAACTTTACTCAAAACATTCAATTATTTTTGAATAGTAAAATAAATAAAATTTAAATAAATAATAAAATTTTCACAGGAATTCTATTATTTAAAAATTAAATTACAATTTTCATTAAATGTTTTCAAAAAAATCAATTATTTAAAAGAATTTTTATAAAAAAAATGTTAATTTTTTAAATTAGAATTTCAAAAAATTTAAATGCAATTCTTTGCAGAAATTCAAATATTTCCAAATACAATTCCCTAGAATTCTTCTCAGGAATTCAATTACTTCAAAAACTTCCAATGAAATTCTTCACAAGAATTCAATTATTTTCAGAAATAATAAAATTTTTCTCAAGAATTCAATTATTTCATAAATAATAAAATTCTCCATAGAAATTCAATTATTTTTAAAAATTCTAATAAAATTCAATTGTAAAAATTCAATTATTTGTAATACAATTTTTTTTAAGTAAATTTCTCGAAAAATGCAATTAGTCTTTAAAGTTTTATTAAAAATCTTCAAAAGAATCCAATTATTTTATGTAATTTTAATTTAATTTATTTATTAGAATTTAATAATTATTTTGATTACGTTTTTAATTTATTTTCTTGAATGAATTTAATTATTTTCAAAAATTTGAATGAAATTCTTCGTAATAATTCAATTATTTTCAAAAACTTTTAGTAAAATTCTTCAAAAAAATTTAATTAATTTAAAAAATTTATCCAAATTCAATTATTTTTACCATCAACTATTTCTGATAAATTTTTTCAAAAGAATTCAATTATTTATTTATTGTACAATTCGAATAAAATTTCTTGATGAAATTTAATTATTTTTAAAAAACTTTTTAAATTTGTTTTTAGAATTAAATTTATTATTTTTAAAAATTTGGTTTTTATTATTTTTATTTATTATTTTCATAAATAATAAAATTTTCAACAGAATTCAATTATATAATTATTTTAATTTAATTAAATTTTAATTATTTTTAATACAATTTTAAATGAACTTTTCGAAAAATGCATTTAGTCTTCAAAATTATATTACAATTTGTTTGAAAGAATTCAATTATTTTAATGAACAATAAAATTGTTTCTTTAGAATTCAATTATTTTTATTAATAAAAAAATTGTTCTCAGAATTCAATTATTTTTAAGTATTTTAATAAAATCCGTTGTAAATAATTCAATTATTTTCTTAAATTAAATAATTTATTGCAGGATTTCAATTATTTTTAATAAAGTTTAAATAAATTCATCAAAAAATTCAATTATTCGAGAAAATTGGAATACAATTCTTAAAAAGAATTCAATTATTTTAAAAAATTTTCATAAAATTCTTTGTAAAAATTCAATTTTAAGAAATATTCAATTATTCAATAAATTATTTATTTTTGTATTGAACTAATTGAATTCTTGTCGAACAGTCTGATAAGAATTGATTTAGAAATTAATTTCAGTTAAAATATTAGATAATTGAATATTAGAAGCGTTATAGTTGGAATTCTTATTCTTAAAAATAATTAAATTTGAAAAGATTTGTAAATTCAAATCTTTGAAAATTTTTAATTGTTGTAAAACTGTAATATTTTTATTTTATGATAAAAAATAATATAAAATTGTTATAAAATGATTGAAGTTTTGGATATTTTTATTTTTAAAAAAAATAAGCTACTTTTTTGGATATAATTATCGAGTACGAAGCTTGTTAAAAAAAAACTTTGAGAATTTGAAGGGGAATTATTTCTTTCTTGAAATGAAAACGAGGTGGGAAAAAGAAATAGAGGAAAGTAATAAAGAGAAAGAAAGGAGGTGTTTAGCCACGGCTCTTGATTCGGAAAGAAGGTGTAAATAAGTGAAAGATATTGTCGAAATGTAAATGCAAATACACAGTGAAGATAAAACCGGAAGTGCGACCTTCGTAAGCAAGTTTTCGCAGGCATTTCCTTCGTTAGTATGCGTTTTCCTTTTAACTTAACAGACCCTACAGCGGAAGGAGGTACGTTACTCTCGAGAAAATCCATTAATGATATAGCTTATTTTGCTTTAGTGTACTATACCCAACAGAATGCACAAACAGAAAATGTTATTTTTTTAATTTTTAACCTAATTTCTAACCCATTTAATTAATCCATTGCCTAATTTTTAAAACACGAACTTATCTCGACTCAATCTTTTGACAAATGTGTTTATAATAAATTTAACAATTCTCGTAGATTTGAACCTAATTTTTAACCCATTTAATTAATAAAATTAATGAAATTAATAAAATTAATAAAAATTGACTAATTTTTATTAATATGCAAACAAACACGAACTTATCTTGACCCAATCTTTTGACAAAGAATAATAAGTTTATAATGAATTTAATAACTCTCATTCATGCTTATGAATAAAGAAAAGAGCGCGCACACGGGGATTATGATTAAGAAAAAAGTATATATTTGAATATAAAGTATCATGAATAGGGATTAGGAGGACGAAAATTTTTTAAACCGACTATACTTTTACCGTGTTTGCGAGCGGGGACTTAGGAGTGCACTCAACTCAATTAGGAGGAGTTTCTGTTCATTTTCGAGAGAATAAATCTCACTCAGGTGTGTTTAATTAGCCTTAACATGTAATAAAGATAATTTGTGAACAATGCAAGTAAATTCGCGATTTCTTTATCGGTTTGCCTCTACTCTTCTTGTTTATTTTTTTTTTTCACTCTGCGAAGCTCTCCTCCACTTGTAAATTTGCATCTGGGAACTTGCTCTCCATGCATTGTCAGATGAGTATACTTGATAAACTATCGACCATTAATGCGTGAAACCTGTATATAACGTGGGTATCGTGAGCAGATAAACTTTTGTCCTTTCACATCCTTGACATACATCTTCTATCGCGATTTAAAAAGAAAACTAATTAAACTATTTACTATATGCCTAGAGAGAGAGAAAGAGAGAGATTACTCGAGACTGAAATTAGATACAATTATAACGGGTACATGAAGATAGAGAGACGTTTCTTATTCTGTCGTCGAGTATACTTTCAAATTTTCTTCAATTCAATTCATCATTGATATTTTTCTGCCTCGGATGTAGCATGAATTTCTTTCGACTTTTTCTACTTTTTTACCTGAACATTTTTTTAAGGACATTGAGTGTCAAAAAACGTATCCAAATTGTTGCGATGCAATAACGTGAACTTCAATTTTATAAAATTTCAATTTTGAATGAATTTATAATTAAAAATTTTTAAGCACTTAGGTTTTTGAAAAAATTTAATAATTCAAATTCTTCTGAAATTAGTTCAATTTTTTTAGTTAACAACAATAAAAAAGACTAAATTTTGGAGAAGTTACAAATGATTGCAGAAATCATTTTTTGAGTGTATAATAATTTTTAGAGTGAATCGGAATATTCTTTAGGGTCAGGGAAAAAGTATAAATGTCTATGGAAAGCAGGGAAAAAAATTAAATTTTTGTGGCAACCTTGTAAAAGTTAATAATCGAATAAAGAAGAAATTGCGAATATTGTATATTTCGACGCGAGAAATTAATTACAGTGACAATCGGAGGAGGAATAATTTTTTCGCGCGAAGTCACTGAACGCGAAATTAGTCACAGTGGTCATTAAGAGGATGTTCACTTGGTTTACTAGAGGCCGGAAATAGCGATTCTATACTACTGAGCACCACACTCTAATCTAAACTGCACACCACAGAATGTTAAATGAAAAAAGAAAAATATCAAGACAATTAAAGAGTATATAATTCCATTGCATAATCATATACATTTTAATTGTTTCGATTTTATTTACTTCCTCATTCACTTTCCTACACACAATTGCATTATCAAACAATGGATTATTTTCG